ATGCAATCCGCAGCTCACAGGGTCACGCCATGCATTCAACTCAGAAGCTGGGCGACGAAACTATATCCAGTCTACAAATGGAGCAAAAATGCATCGGCCACCGTCCGGCAGAAGCAAAAAATTTGCCTCTGTTCCGAACGGCGCCGCTGTCTAGCGTCCATTTTAACCGGAAGTCCTTGTATATACATATATACAAGGGATTTCCGCACTCAACACAAACAGAAGACACCGGATAACCACTCGTGTTGCCAACTGGAGACGCAGGCCGGATAAAACCAGCAAGTACTGTCGAAGATCGAAACAGATAAGGGTTCCAAATTTAACCACTGGATAAGACACTAAGGTCAAACGAGGTCTAGGTCACATTTTCTAGAATATTCAGCAGGAATGCGCATACATCTGCTGACCTTTTCTCCGTTTGTTGTTTTTGGTGTAGCTACATTTCTGTCTCAAGTACACTGAAGGGTTTATTTAGAGCTGTCGTGACCCAAGCTTAGTCCCCGCGACTCGTATTTTATAATGTTTACAAAGTACTCATCATCATCATCGTTATCATCATCATCATCGTCGTTATCATCATCATAAGCATCAACACCTTTGTCATCATCATTATCATCATCATCCATCAACATCCTGCATCATCCAACATTATACATCATCAACAATAAGAAGTTACCTGGTTCCTGGTCTATTTCTCCGTTTCTTTCTGTCTTGCACAATCCTCTCGATATCATAAATGGGATCCATTTCAGCAGCACTAGTCTCTCTCTCGTTAACGCTCATTTGACTTTTCCCTCGACTTTTTGTCTCCGCAATTTATTTGTTTCCTTAAAAGGGGGGGGGGGGTGGCTGCTTGGTTTCGATGCATGGTGTCCACCTCGAGTGCTAGAGGTTCCGGGCTCAATGACCAGTAAAAGCTAGGATTTTTCACGTGGACTTTGACTTCTACATAGATTATTCAGTAAAGTCTGGGAGACCGAAGAAATACCAGCAGACTGGAGAGAAGGATATCTTGTAAAACTGCCCAAAAAAGGTGACCTACAGGAGTGTGAAAACTATAGAGGAATTATGTTGCTGTCAGTTCCTGGAAAAATATTAAGTAGAATTATTTTGGAAAGATTAAAAGATGCTTTTGATAAAATGCTAAGAGATGAGCAGGCAGGTTTTCGGTCAAACAGATCCTGTACTGATCAGATAACCACATTACGTATTATAATAGAGCAAAGCATTGAACTGAACTCACCACTTTACATTGGATTTATAGACTATGAAAAAGCATTTGACAGCATTGATAGGGAATCTCTCTGGAAATTGATGGGGCACTATGGAATCCCACAGAAAATTATCAACTTAGTAAAGGCAACATATAAAGACATGAAATGTCGAGTTCTTCATGAGGGAAAGCTAACAGATGCATTTTAAATAAAAACAGGTGTGCGACAGGGATGTCTTTTGTCGCCTCTCTTATTTTTACTGGCTATTGACTGGACTATGAAAACAGTAACTGCTAACACCAAGAATAGAATACAGTGGACCCCTACAAAACAGCTTGACGATCTGGACTTCGCTGATGATATTGCTCTTCTGTCCCATTCACGGAATCAGATGCAAGATAAATTAAATATACTTAATGCGAGATCACAGCAGCTTGGTCTGAAAATCCATAAAGGAAAGACAAAGATAATGAGAATAAATCAGGCAAAAAGTACTTTGGTTTCTCTAAATGGCACCCCACTCCAAGACCTGGAGACGTACACCTATTTAGGCAGTAATGTAGATAAAGATGGAGGAATTGATAGAGATGTTAAAATAAGAATACAAAAGGCAAGAGGGGCTTTCATAGCACTAGGGAATTTGTGGAGGTCAAAAGAAATTAAAAGAAATACTAAACTAAAGATTTTTAATTCTAATGTCAAATCAGTACTATTGTATGGGGCGTAAACATGGAGAACAACTAAGGCAATTACTAATAAATTACAGACATTCATTAACTGGTGCCTGCGCAGAATAGAGGGAATAAAATGGTATGATAGAATAACTAATGTAGAACTTTGGGAGAGAACTAAACAGGCTCCAGTGGATCAGGAGGTAAGGAAAAGACGCTGGCGTTGGATTGGGCACACACTGAGAAAACAGGAGAACAGCATAACTAGAATGTCTTTGCATTGGAACCCACAGGGGCATAGGAATAAACGAAGGCCAAAAAACACATGGAGAAGAGAGCTGGAGAATGAGTTTAGAAAGATTGAGAGGACATTGGGAGAGCTCCATGCAATGGCGAAGAATAGAACGACTTGGCGTGAGTTGGTTGAGGGCCTATGCTCCATTGGGGGATAGAAAGGCAGAAGAAGAATTCCTTCTGGTCTCTGGGTAGTGAGATTGGATGCCCATGTGCATTGTTTCTCGCGTAAAAAATTCTTTGGCAGTTGGAAATCGAAAAGAGAAGCCTAACCGCGTTGCCCGGGCAAAATTTGGAGTTATAAATCTACCTAAAGTATTTCAGACTTGAGTTAGAAGAAAGAACAGAGTACTTATGGGTTACTACCTGTGTGCCATAGTGTTGATCTGTTGTTTAAACTTAACAACGGAGACATGGAAACTGTTTCAATCTTCGATTGCACGACATTTTTATCCGGTGTGTTTGCTGTTAGCAACAACGGTGGTTACGCAGTGTTTACTTTTTATGTGAGGGGGGCAATCCGGTGTGCATGTTCCGTTTGTGTCATCTTCATATCCGCTCAGCGTAAGTCAGTTGACAGACATGCGCACTACTGAGCTCAAATATAACATTCAAATAGATTTTAGAAGGTTTCAACTAGGGCTCTACCGAATAGTGATTTTCACTACTCAGCCGAATAACGAATAGTGTATAGTGTATAAAATACAGCTAAAAAAAAAAAAACAGATACACATATATAATGTCAAATATACGCAGAACTTTTACTTCACATAAAGTAGCACAGCATAGTCATCTTCTTCTTTAGCATTCTGAGCCCTTGAGATTTACTGCTGCATATATCATTCGTCTCCATTCATCTCTCTGGCTGGCCTTATCTTCACAATTTGTGACACCAGTTGTTTGCAGGACTGGCTGGACATTATCTCTCGAACTTCTTTTTGTCTGCCTCGTGGTCTACGCCCATTTCTCTCTCAGGTGTATACAGTTTTTACTTCTCTTACCTATACATTTTTTCAATATGCCCCAACCATTTTAGTCTGTTAGCTCTCATGATGCCAGTGATCAGTGGTGATTTAAACAGATTATGTGTTACGTTATTGCTTCTCACTTTCTATTCCCAGCTGTTAGCTCTTTGATGGGTCCATAGATTCGTCGTAAGACTGTTTTCGAAAACCTGTAATAAGGCCTCATCTCTTTTATTTCTGCTTCAAGTTTCAGAGCCATTTAAAACGACTGGTCTTCTTAAGGTTTTATACCCGGCTAGATAGCGTAGTTGGCTAAATTGGATTGCGCGGTGACCGGGTGACGAACTCCTTGTGGTCGGGTTCACGCCCGGGGCTAGACAAAAAAGCCACATTTCTCCAAGATTTACGGTATTTATTATGGAATCACGGCCGAAAGGTTGCGATATCCATAATACCGAACCTAAGGGTTAACAACTCATGACTTCTGGATACAACGTTTTATATATTTTGATCTTGGTGTTGCGAGACAGACACTTTGATTTTATCAGATGTTGAAGGGCATAGTATACTTTATTTCTAGATTGTATTCTAGATTGCATTTTTTCTCTCTGCAAGTTGGGGCAGTTGAAGTTTGCACCGAAGAACTTATATGTTTCCGTTCGTTTGATTTTCATATTATCGACTTGGATGTGGCCGGAGTTTATATTTTTTCCATGTCTAGTTAGTATTCGTACAGAATAGTAAACATTTAAAAACATTTTATGTTTTGTATCCTTCAGTCAGTCTATGGTAACTAATAACTAGGAATGAGAGAATCCTAAGTATTATAACAAGTAACTAAACTTGGAAATTTCCATTGAGAGCTTAGTTAATACATGAAAGCTGCATTAGCTTTCAACAAAACCAATCGTTTCATGCTGTCAGCATTAAGGCCGTGTACGCAGAAGCAGCTCTTCGGACGAATACCGAATAGTCAATAGGTCGTCTATTCGGCCCCGAAGCGAATACGAAGCGAATATTCGGTACAACCCTAGTTTCAACTATGCCCAGGCTACACAATCAGCCCAGTTAGTAAAGGAAATGACGAGATACCAACTGGATATATAAAAGTTGGGTAAAGATGATGATCGGCACCATTGTCCACCACTGTTGCCGCCCTCCCTCTCTCTCCTCCCCTCTCTCTTTCTGTGTGGAGGATGGCAGGGAAGTGTGTTTGTTTCCCCCCTCTGAGCTGCCACCCGAGAGTCTGACAATCCCTGACATTACAAATATCACATCCTTAACAGCAAACTCAAAGGTAGCCTCTAGATACTGAATTTCGGCTATCCTCCGAATAACGGTCCCAAATTATCGAGGCCGAAAAAATACCCTAACAGTGCCTCAGTCACATGTAAATTGCCAACTTCCGGCGACTACAGCCACCGCCGAGAGCGGGGCTAAACTAGATGGCTGGGACTCACGAGAAAATAAAATGAAGGAAGCTGCAGGAGATGCGGTTGCTGCTGCTAGTGAGTCCCAGCCATCTAGTTTAGCGCCGCGCGTAGCGGCGAGGGAGATACTCTCACACATTTACCTATACAAAAGCCTTTCTTGCCTTTTCTATTTTAATATCCGTGTATATCTGCATATTATTATTACGCGCTTTATTAATGATAGTGATGGTGGTAATGGTAGTGATAGCAGCAGCAGTTAAATGCCTTAGGTCCCCTGAGACGTCCTTAGAAAACGTGTTAGGGACTAAACCCCCTTTCCCCTCCCCACCCTACTTCTTTCTCACCCAAATCCCCGCAAGTTTATGTGTTTGCCTTAATGTTTATGACCCACTGATCATTCCTCCCTCTCTGTATCTTTTGCAGCAATACAGTCGTTAGACAACCTCAGCGAGCAGATCTCCCAACAAATCGCTTCCATCCAAGCTCTCCACTCGGCAGAAGATGGATTCAAGGTGCCCGTTGAGTGTGTCCAGTCCTCCCTCATCCTCATCAGACGACTGCTGCTGGACGCACAGTCCCAGTTCCGTCACATGGTAGATGAGAACAAACAGCTGGGCGTTCATATTGATACTTCTATACAGGTCAGTCTGTGCTGTCTTCTCTTTGTCAGGCAGGTGCCGTCTTCACAATGAAGGTTGTTTTAAATTGTGTCCAACAATACTTCATTTTTCTCTCGTCCTAGTTGTACTCGCTTAGACTTTTCTTCTATCACCAGGTGCTAGCATCCTTCAGGTATCATCAATTTCATTGTCAACATTTGTCATGTCATTAAGCATAGGCTGTCGTCTTTCGCCGTCGTACACGATTGAAAGAATCAAGGATTGGGATAATGTTGATGCCTCGCCCCCCCCCCCCCCCCCCATCCTTTACGCAGAAGGACCTTTGTATTTTCAGTCTATTATATTCTTTGCATCAAGTGCGTCTTATACACGGAATCGACTTATACTCTGGAAAACACTATACTTTTCCTTCCCAGTCACTTACTAACATTCCATACCCCAACAAGACTGCAGACACCTGGCCGGTGCAACCATTGCTTATGTCCAAGTTAGATTTTCAGATGAGACTGGGATTGTCCGGTTGGCCAGCCATCATGACAATTTTGTAATCTCAGGACTAATTTGACTTTTGTGAGAAATAAAATATTGTAAGTCTAGCACTAGTTTTTAGTGCTTTATTAATATCCTACCCCCCCCCCCCCCAGATGACGTCACACGACAGAGCAACATTTTAGAGAGTGGTAAGACTAGGTTTTCTGGCTTTCTGATGCTTTTAACCACCCCAAAACTATATAACTGGCCCTAACCCCAACCCATCTACGTCCCACGAGAGAGTGCAGCCTAGGTCCCACGACTGTAAGCAGCCTATCTACCAACCATTAAAATATTAGACTGTCTCGTGACCCGTGGATTTCCACTGTTTGGAGTATGTTATTATTCAAGCGCCTAATTTTGTTGTTGTTTTAATCTGTCAGACATTTCCTGATGAAATAAAAAGCATCTCTTGCCTTTTCTGTTTCAGTATCTGTATCTGTTGAAGATAGAACCTATGTTGTATGTGAGAGTCGAACAATAAGCAGACACGTTGAAAACACTTACTTATAGTGGAGATGTGGTTTTTGAGAAAAATGCAGGGCGCACGAAGGAACATCGCTGTAGCTACGGAGTTGCGTACGGTCGGCGACACAGGCGAATAATTTCTTATCAGCTATCCGTACTGGTGGCAGAGCACTTATGGTTTATAACCGTGTGCAATGAGGCTGGTTCACATCTCCCGACTTTTCTTTTATTTTGTTGTCCATACTACGGAAACATAGAGCGTGAGAACTTAGTGACCATTGGCAAGATTAATGGGAAGAAAGATCAGCATCAGAAATCAGAGAAGACAGATAAATATACTGATGGGTTGACCGCACAGTTGTGGCTAGATAAGATCACTGACATGATCAGTGATTCTGGCGATCGCATGCGATGGAGAAACACGACCACCTACGATTTAAGGAACGGCAGATTATAGATGATGCTGACAATATTTCCCCACCCTCCCTCTTAGCTCACTTTGCTATCTACTTAAGAGCGTGATCTCATTTCTTTCACCAAGCAAAACGTATTATCCTTTCCTAGTTTCAGTTTGTAGACATGAAAAGCATTCGATTATTGAGAAATTACATGTAAATGCAAAACTGTGGTTTTATAGGTGAATAATGAGAACAACATGAACGGATAGAACTTATACTGAATATGTCTTGAAAGTCATTATCTGACAGAGAGGACTGACTTCTGGTATAAGGAGAAGTTTTAGATTAATAGATGTAGTCTCTAGAGATGTGGATGTACAGAGTATAGGGCTGTCTTTCGTGGAAACAAAAACAGATACCGAGGTCCTGAATAGGCTAAGTCTGAACTAGAGACTTGCTGAAGGTAATGATAATGAGACAAGGGAAATATTTCCGCCTTATTAAATATCATAAAAGAGTTGATTGCGTATCCTTTACAGGACGTTACTGATCCAACCCTAGCATTTTTTGGCTGATGTGGGTTTTCTAGACAAGTTTACATCCAGTAGTTTGCCATTGCTATCTGGACAGTTGCCATCTCGATACCACTGTCAAAATTATTGCAAGGCGCAAGGCCTGCTGCTTGAATCAAACCCAGCACCCCATATTACGATGCGCGTTCGCAACGCCTCGGCCACAGACGCCGACTTCAAGATATTAACATTAATAAAAAAATAATTTCTTTTTCTCCTTCAGTTCCTCCTTCACGGCTTCGGGTATCGACAGAGATATAAGGTTCTGTTTCTTGCTCTTCTAGCTGTCTCGGAAATAGACATATCGTGCAGTTGTAGTTTCTCTGATGCTTCATCTTATTCTTGGTCTACCTTGTACTCTGCATCCTTCTCCTCTTTCGGTGTATGGCTTGTATGGTATGGTGTCTCAGGGCAGTCTCTCGTGGTGGGCAAACTACTTTACCTGCCGTCTTTGTATGCGATTAGAAGTGGTTCTTTTTCTTTTATGGCTTTATTTCTGATTTGATCTTTTCTGGTAATTCCTGCAGCCCTTCTCAGATATCGTATTTGTGTGGTTACTAATTGTCTCTCTTTTTTTTTTAAATTGAAAAAAAAAAAAAAAAAAAATTTAAGGCAAGTGAGCAACAGACAAGTGGGATGAAAATATAGATAAACAGACTAACGTAGTCTGAGAGAGTGAATTCCCAGGGAAATAGATAACGCATTGTGAAGATGCATTGCATCCAACCTTTATTGTGGAGAAGGCACCTGACTGATTGAGTACTCAACGGGAAGGTAAATAATAGACCTTAAAGACGATGAAGGCTAGAGGCAGAGATACCAAAAGAGACATTGGAGAGTATGTTGTTATGACATGGAAGCATATTTACATGTTAAAAAAAAAGAATAATTGACAATATACAAGAAGTAGATTCTCAACAATCAAGATGATCAGTGTTACAAGTAAAAGGTCCCTGTGAACAGCTTCTACCCATCTGGCACCAATCAACACTAAAATAGGTGATGTGGTCAGCAATACCTGAACATGACGTGTTACCAAATTTAGGCTGGGTCGACATAAAACCCAAGGTCCATTTTAAAGGAAATTCATCCTCGATGAGGATTTGAACCCTAGACATGTAGACCTAGAATTTCTGGTATAGCCACTACTACAGTGGCTGAGATGTCTGGGACATACTGGATGTAGAATGGTAGAATCACTAAGGACATCCTCTATACCAGATGTGCACGCAGAACTCAAGTCCTGGATGAAGACCAAAGGCCAGGAGTTGATGAACAACCAGAACTTTCTGCCAAGGTTTATAGCCATTGTACAATAAGAAGAAGAAGAAAATAAGAACACAACTTTCCAACTGTCCTTTCAAAAGCAAACATAGAAGAAGCAAGAATATTGCTGTACACTTGATAATTAATGTTATATTAGAGCAGCGGTTCTCTGTGTGTCTCGACCCTTGTGTGGGTCAAACGACCCTTTCACGTGGGTGGCCAAAGACCATCGGAAATCACATATTCACTGAGGTTATGTTAAAGCGTAAAAAACTATTGTATTGTTGGGTGTCGCCACAACATGAGGAACTGTATTAAAGGTTGCTGCATTAGGAAGGTTGAGGCCGCTGCTTTAGAGGCTTCTACATTAAAATCTTTTGGGATTAAACTGAGACAAAAAAATTAAAAAAAAATCACATTGTATTAATTGAGATCTATATTTCTACCCAGGCTGTAAATAGAGAAGTGAATATGTTGAGGACAGAGCTGGCGTCTGCTAAGAACAGACTGAAACAGATGAATGTTAGAGAACCAGTGGGCAAAGCTGACAAAGGAGTCCAAGTGGATGAGCAATCTGGTGCCTGTAAGTGAGATTTTACAAATGTGAGGTTGTTAACTAATGTCTATCCTCTAAGAATTAAACACGTTTTTTTACTGTATTTCTCATGTCAACTTACAGATGTTAATCATGAGATCTTACTCAAACAAATCTGAGCTTTTGAACTAATATGCTGGGTAAAAATTTCTTTGAATACCTTGGACTTAAAAGACACAAAAATTTGACATGAACACCTTACATTATCTGAGCACAGAGGAGAACTGGCTCATAAACAGGATCCAGTAGGGATTTTTGGGCCATGTTAGAAAAAAGGTCATGGTGGCCTGGAGAGAGTGGAAATAAAAAGTACATTTTCTGAAAAATGAAGCAGAGGCACACATCTGCGAAGGTGGATACAAGACATTGAAGAAGCATTGGCTGTAAAATCACATAGGACTAGAGAAAGCTGGTTAGAGAAAGAGTGACCATCAGGCTTGCTCTGCTGAGAATGACCTCCTGTAAATGATCTGCTGATTGATAATGAAGTTGGTTTGCTAACTGGCCTAATGGCTAAGAATGCTGGGCTCTTATTTGGGAGTCACAGGTTCAAATCCTTGGTAAGATAATTGAATTTTGATGTCGTTGCGGGGGTGGGGGTGGGGCAGGGGGATCCTAACCTGCCCAGTACATGGCAACAGAACCAACCATGTGCTCCTAAATCCTCAGTGCTAAAACCTTCTTTCCTTTACCACTGCAGTGTTGGTAAATAGTGGTAGTAATGATAAATGATGGCTTACAGCTCTGTAGATTAGCAACTAGAGTTTGCGATGGCACAGTAGCCAACAAGAGGACAGGGTTACGAATAGCAGCATTAGAGAGAAAGTTGGAATAAGACAATCTCTAGATTATATTGATAGACAAAGAATGAAATGGCTGGGCCATATAGTGACACTGCAGCCAGACCAAACTGTGTATGAGCAGAACGTCTGGGAGGAAGCCGAGGAAAGAAGAAGAAAGAGATGGATATTTGGTGTAGTTGAAAACCTGCAAAAAGATCAACAAATCCATCACCCAAGCAATCAACAGATCCATCACCCAAGCAATCAACAGATTCATCACCCAAGCAATCAACAGATCCATCACCCAAGCAATCAACAGATCCATCACCCAAGCAATCAACAGATCCATCACCCAAGCAATCAACAGATCCATCACCCAAGCAATCAACAGATCCATCACCCAAGCAATCAACAGATCCATCACCCAAGCAATCAACAGATCCATCACCCAAGCAATCAACAGATCCATCACCCAAGCAATCAACAGATCCATCACCCAAGCAATCAACAGATCCATCACCCAAGCAATCAACAGATCCATCAACCAAGCAATCAACAGATCCATCACCCAAGCAATCAACAGATCCATCACCCAAGCAATCAACAGATCCATCACCCAAGCAATCAACAGATCCATCACCCAAGCAATCAACAGATCCATCACCCAAGCAATCAACAGATCCATCACCCAAGCAATCAACAGATCCATCACCCAAGCAATCAACAGATCCATCACCCAAGCAATCAACAGATCCATCACCCAAGCAATCATCAGATCCATCACCCAAACAATCAACAGATCCATCACCCAAGCAACCCGAGAAACACAAAACAAATACAGAAAACCATGACACTAGGCTACAACCTGGTATCAGTGAGGTGACGAAAAAAAGAAGCAGAATGTTCTAGGAAGTATAGGCAGATGGCCTGATGATGGCTATTTTGACCCAATGCCCACTAATCTAAACAAATATGAGTACAGCATCATATGCCTGACCTCCTACTGGTGTAAAAAAAAAAAAAGCATACTTTGTTATTTATTCTGTAGCAAATTAAATTTTTTTTTTTTATATCTCTGTTTAAATTTTTTTTATATATAAGTTTTTTATTTCTACCCCCTTTTTTATCTTTTCCAATTTTCTACCCTCCCAGCTCAACAAAAACCTGGCAAATCCAACAACAAGGAGGTAGAGGAGCTAAAGCTGACAATCCAGACACTGACCAGAGGAAATGAACAACTGGTAGAGGACTACAGACATCTCTTGGAGGAGCATGACAAGCTCAAGCTGGCATATGACGATCTGCGGGTTTGTGGATAATTTATTTTTTTAAGGAGCTGATGTGATTGACCCTTCTTTGTTTTATTTTGGTAAATGTTTCATAACTAGCAAGACAGATTGGATATCTGTTTACCCAGGAGTAAAGCCTAGTGGAGCATGTCTACGCCATCTTTGAAGTCAAGATAGGAGACATTACAACTAACTTCTCATATGAACAATAAGTATAGATACATACCTTGAAGTCATCCATAGGCTGGCCATCCTTGTACATCCTCGGTTAACCCTCAGTGTCGTCGTCACCGCGCTGAGGTACACCACAACAGCAACCATCCATAGGCTGACCATTCATGTACATCCTCGGTTAACCCTCAGTGTCGTCGTCACCGCGCTGAGGTACACCACAACAGCAACCAACCATCGGATGGCCAAGCCTAAGTGTCCGACAAAACTAGATCATACGGATCAAAATCTGACCATCAAAATTTGTATTGAACTGAAAAAGACCGAATGTCCACACCCAAAGACCCCACTCGCCCGAGTGTTGGGACAAAACTGATAACTATATGCCTGATGCAGGATGATGTAAAATTCTGTCGGGCTAACGGCTCGTCAAAGAAATCTAACGTGCGAGGAAAAAAGAATGTATCTATCTGTTTGGTCACAAAAGTCCAAAACCCACGGGCTGCTCCCCGCTGACTTCCAGAGGGCGCAGCCCCTGTCGAGCGGGAGGCTTGATACGGTTGTGAGGTTAAGCAGGCATGTGTAGGACGTGACGATTCCTTGGGTGAGCCCAGAACCAGAGCGCTATGTGCCGGCTCTGCATGCATGGAAGCCTCCTTGGATGGCGGGGAATGCCCATGATCTGCCCCTGCCTTCCCTTGAGGGCTAACTGTTCCACAGGGGGCTGCCCCAAAGGGGTACTCCGAGGGCAATACCTGCGGCGAAGGGGACAAAGTGGACACCACACAAATCAGGCAACGTCACGACCCACACAAAACAATGGCCACAGTCAACCTAGAAATAGGCATGACGTCTTCCTTCGAAGTCGGAGTACAGCTGCCCATGAGGCAGGGAAATGAAAAACGGTTGTACACGCAAAAATCAGGTCCAGGTGAAAGCCAAAAGTCCAAGCGGACGATTAACCAGGACCTTCCACTGGAATTCACAGCCGGTGATCGATAAAAAAAAAAAAAAATACCTTGAAGTGGTTGTTGAATCAGAGGATTGAGGATTGACTAATGTGCAGTAATGTCAGTCTGATAACATCTGAGCATGGTGATCTCATCATTTTTTCTATAAAACCATTAAAACCACATCTCTGCAGCTTTCTTATAATTGATCACTAATATTCTTAATGCCCATGATTCACATCTATACATAAAAAGTGTGTGTTATTATAGCTCTTAAGAACTTTTTTTTTTCCACTTAATTACATTTCCTACAGGTCACATTCACTTCCCTAAGCAGATTGATATCTGAGACCTTACAGACAAGCTTAACTTCTTACCTCCCACTAAAACACTAAAAAAAAAAAAAAGTTAAATAAATGTGACAAGAGGTTGTACAGCTTAAAACTGGTTTTAATATGGGAATGACAAAGATAATGAGAATAACTAAGTGAAGTCATTCAAATCAACTATCTTGGTAAACTCACTTGAAGATGCAGGTAAAATCATACAAATATCTGCCCAGTGTCTTTGAAAACTGTGATTAATGTATTTACCACATTTTAGGGCATTGTAGAACTGGAAAGGGGTCGTTGGGGGGTGGATGGGGGGGGGGGGGGGGGGTCTAGACCCTCCGCAGTTATGGCCCTGTGGTTACTGCAGTCAACATTGCCTGTGCTGGTTAGGTCTTTCTTTTTTTGCCCCTGACAGAAAGTTATTAGCCAACAGTTTACTGAGGGTTTCAACCTGGGTCTCCTGACTGAACACCTACTGTTTCTAGCTGCTCAGCCAGATGCTCTTATATATCTTGTCACTAACTTGGTTTGAAAAAGTCAACAGATTTACATACCTAGGAAGTAAGATGACATCAATAGGGGACTTTGCACCAGAAAAATAATCTAGAATAGCACTGGCATCTAGTGCCTTTAAGAAACTGTCAAACATCTGGAAGTCAAAGATACTAAGTAATCACAAACAACTTCAGCTATTGTGTGAGTACAGTGCTAACTTACACATGTGAGAGTTGGAAAGCAGTGGTAGCTCTAGTTTATAAAAAAAAATATTTCTTTACAATTTTGAGAACAAATGTCTTAGAAGAATACTAAATCTTCACTGGAAAGATTTCAAATCCAATACACAACTAAGACAAGAGACCAAGCAAGACAATGTGTCCACTTTTTTTTGAAAATGTCTCTGGAACTACATCGGCCATGCACAGAATGGATAAGACAAGGCTTCCACATCAGGCCCTTATATGGACACTGAAAAAAAATGGAGAATACTGAGAAAGACTCTACATAGAAACATTATCAGAGAAGGCTCAACTATGGGCCTAACAAACATCCAAGACCTAAAGCAGGTGGCAATGAACTGCCAAATGTGGAGAGCTATGACCTCTTTCCTATATGCCGCCCTAAGCTCAAGAGAAAAGACTAACTAACTAACTAGGTCAAATTGAAGGAGCAGACAACTTGTTCTTCTTCTCTCATCCTACTGCTTACGCTGCAAAGAGACTTGGTGTGAGTTATTTGAGGGCATTTGCTTCATTGGATGATGAAGGGCAACAGGGAAAAAACAAAAGAATATTCAGAAATATGTTACCATTCAGCAGGACAGTTTCATGCTACAACAAACCAAAGTTCAAAGGCAGTTGTAGGGGCTTTGGCTGTAGACAGGTTTATCTTGATTTAAAAAATGGTATGTGTTCAAACTTTAAAAACAAAAGCAATGGCAAACTACTAAAAGTACAATTTTCTAATTAAACTAAACCAATAAATCCTGGAATTGGGTAATGATATGCTGTTAAGAATTTGAAACTGTTATTTTTTCTGTTAAACAGCAGGACATATTTGCCATAACATTTCACCACAACCACACACACTCAGACAAACACACAAACATACACGCACACACATACACACACGTGCACACCCACACGCACATATGCCACAAACACATATATATAGCTGCCTGAGCTATTGCATTTAGTGCTTGGTACAGCCTTGTGAGCTGTGTTTTTCATGTGAAATACCTTTTACTTGTGCAGTGGTTGCGTCGTGGCATTCAGTATGGTCAGTTAAGGTGTGAGCTGGTGAAATACCTTATGTATTAATTCTGTGTGTGTTTGCTTATCGTGCCCGACCACTTCCATCAATGACAAAATACATTTACTGTGTGGGGATATTTCTGGATTATTCCGGGACTAATTGTTTGTTCACCAGTTTTTTAAACGAGACACTGAAGGACATTTCAACTGGTATTTACTTGCACAGGAACGGAACAAGTATGAGGAAACCTGATTGCAGTGAAACTGAAACCTCAACTAAGACTAAGACCAACACTAAGACACACATGTACACACATATCTTCTTCTTCTTCTTCTTCTTCTTCTTCTTCTTCTTCTTCTTCTTCTTCTTCTTCTTCTGCCTTTCTATCCCCCAATGGAGCATAGGCCCTCAACCAACTCATGCCGTCGTTCTACCCTTTGCCATTGCATGGAGTTCTCCCCATCTTTCTAACTTCATTCTCCAGCTTTCTTCTCCATGTGTTTTTTGCCCTTCCTTTATTCCTATGCCTCTAGGTTCCAATGCAAAGACATTCTGGTTATGCTGTTCTCCTTTTTTCTCAGTGTGTGTCCAATCCAGCGCCAGCGTCTTTTCCTCACCTCTTGTTCAACTGGAGCCTTTTTAGTTCTCTCGCAAAGCTCTAAATTAGTTATTCTATCATACCATTTAATTCCCTCTATTCTGCGCAGGCACCAGTTAATGGAAGTCTGTAATTTATTAGTAATTGCCTTAGTTGTTCTCCATTTTTCCGCCCCATACAAAAGTACTCGTTTGACATTAGAATTAAAAAGTTTTAGTTTAGTATTTCTTTTAATTTCTTTTGACCTCCACAAATTCCCTAGTGCTATGAAAGCTCTTATTGCCTTTTGTATTTTTATTTTAATATCTCCATCAGTTCCTCAATCTTTATCTACATTACTGCCCAAATAGGTGTACAACACATCTTGGATTGGGGTGCCATTAAGAGAAACCACATTACTATTTGCCTGGTTTATTCTCATGATCGTTGTCTTTCCTTTACGGATTTTCAGACCAAGCTGCTGTGATCTTGCATCAAGTATATTTAATTTATCTTGAATCTGATTCCGTGAATGGGACAGAAGAGCAATATCATCAGCGAAGTCCAGATCATCAAGCTGTTTTGTAGGGGTCCACTGAATTCCATTCTTGGTGTTAGCAGTTACTGTTTACCATAATCCAGTCTATAGCCAGTAAAAATAAGAGAGGCGACAAAAGACTTCTTTACTTCATCATTTTTCTGCTTCAGACATCAAGGTAGATATAAGGTTCTACTTCTTTCTCTTCTGGCTGCATCATCTATAGACACATCATGCTGTTGTACAGTTTCTCTGACCTAACCGTTCTATCTTGTTCTTGGTCTACCTTGTACTACACATTTTTCTCTTCTTTTGGTGAATACCTTTTAATGTATGGTGTTAGAAAGCATTCTCTCTAAGTAGGCAAACAATTTGATTTGTTGTATACATGTGTCTCATAGAAAACCAATGAGAGTTTCAAAAGTGACATCACAAAACTTGAAGGGCAGATGCAGAAGTTTGGAAAAGAATCTGAGGAACTCCCACACGCGGAAGGAACCAGTCTCAAATCTAGGTCCACCTATGGAGAAATCAAACTGGAGCTGATACAAGCAAGGCAAGAGCTAATCAGAGCTAAAGAAGTTTTACAAGGTAATCTGTTTGTGTTTGAGTTCTTTGAATGTCAGTTGCAAGTTGGCTACAGTCTTGTGTCAATCTTATAATTCCTTGTATGGGTTCTGGGGCACCTTTTTTGAGAACACAAGCCTGCCCCAACAAGCATGTCGTAGGAGGTGACCAATTAAAGGTGTTTCCTTTCTGCACAAGGAACCAACAGTCTGCATACAAATAAGCCAGATTTGTAAAATAAACAGATGTGCATGCACAATTCAAGTTCTGGATCAGGACGAAAGTCCAGGAGCGGATGAACAACCAGAAATTTCTGATTGAGTTTTCAGCTGATGAACGCTAAGAAGAAGGAGAAGGAATCTAATTGTGTGTGAAGAGAGCCATGGTGGTGAAGTGGATAGATGCCTGGGCTCCCAGGCTGAGTAGTCAAAGATGGGTGCCAGATAAAGGTAAAGGTCAAGTCTGGAGATGTGAACCAGCGTCATTGCACACGGTTATAAACCAGAAGTGCTCTGCCACCAGTACGGACAACTGACAAGAATTGTCCGCCTGTGTTGCTGTTCACAAGTAACTCTGTTGCTACAGCGACGTTCCTCAATTTACCCCAGAGTATCAACTCTGGTACCCAGTTTATAGAGGCTGGGTGAACCCCGAGAGCCGTTCGGTTTTGAACACCGACCGTGGGCTTCAGCGAGTCGCAGCTAGATTTGAAAGCGAGCCTCTTATTGACTGTGCTAACGCAGCGCCTGGAAAGTCAAGGCACCTATGAGTGCTGATTTGTCATGTCTTTTAGACAGTGATACAAGTGGGAACACAAAGGAAAATACTGGGCCTTCACCATGCAGTATTCCAATAGTCAGCAGTGGCTATATGCAGCCAACCTCCATTGCTGAGACGGCACAAATTTGCATGTGTGCGTGCAGTGTGTGTGTGTGTGCAGTGTGTGTGTGTATGTGTGTGTGTGTGTTGTATTTTGGTTATCAATGATATTTTCTTTTTCTTCTTCTTTGTGTTCACAGACTGTAAACTCCGGCAAAAGTTCTGTTGTCATCCTCCACCTTTGGACTTTTTCTTGTTCCAAAACCTGAATGTTGCATGCATTTCCACTATGCAGATCTAGCTTATTTGTTTATAGACTCTTGTTTCCTTGCACTCCAACTTCAAAGGAGGCCCCCAGTTTGTCGACTGTTACCACATGCTCTTTGAGGAGGCAGTGGGTTTGTTCTTGGTTTCCTCACAATGGTGCCCCAGAATCCACACGGGGACTCTCTTTATTTCCAGTTTCTCTGGAACATATGTTTTTGTTTCCATCACATACAACATAATTATTATTTATTTGAGAGTGAAGATTGCCTCTTAGCAGATACTCTATTAGATCTTTGTTAAGTCTTCACACGTTCTAGCCAATCACATATGAAATAAGGTGAATTGTTCCTATGCTTATTTGTTTTTCTTTCCTAGAAATTTTCTCAAAAATTTTAGAAACTGCCCATTGATATGAGGATAGGTTGACTCCACAATTGAACCATTTGAAAAAAAAAAAAAAAAAAATTGGTTGTTTGATCCAGGTCTCAACAGGCAGGCACCAAATAATATTGCCACTAAAAATGGTTTTCTTACTTGATCCCTACTTTTTTTTTTTTTAAATCTCAAATGCTAGGAATGTTTTTGTTTTTTAAAACTCTACAAGCTGAGGTATTTTGACCATGTTTACTGTCATAGTGACCTGGACCACTGCTGATGGAGGCCCAGTTTCCAGAAAAAGAGGCAGAGGCCGGCCTCCACGAAGGTGGATGCAAGACAATGAAGACGCAGTGGCTCTAAAAGCACATAGGGCTCAGGAATTCACTAGACACAGAGACTTTCAAGCATGCCATGATGAGAGCTATGTTCTGTAAAGAACCAGCTGAGTGATGATGGATTTCGTTACTGTCCAACCTTGCGAGGAGTCCGGCTAAGTTTTTCTCTACTCAGTGACATGAGATAATGAAATTGTATTGTGGTAATTGCCTGGGAATGAAAGGTAATTAGGAAGGGACTTTTTTTTTCACCTCATTAATTTTCCGTAAAATGTGAAAAACCAAACATTTCACATTCCATCTGTAGTATCTGCTATGAGATCACCAGCAAGAATAGCCTTTTGCTGAGAGACTGAATGCTTATACTTGGTCCAAAGAGCAGCAGTGTTGGTTACAAAAGAGTTTAGATAATCTTCTTTTTCTTTTTTTTCTTCTAATTCTTTTTCTTCTTCTTCTTCCATTTCTTCTTCTTCTTCTTTTTCTTTTTCTTCTTCTTCTTTTTCTTTTTCTTCTTCTTTTTCTTTTTCTTCTTCAGTGTTAAGAGCCATAGAGGCTCATTGCTGTAGGTGTAACCCAAAAGTGAGGCTTATGCATGTGTTTCAAAAGAAAATTAGAATTGAAAAAGATGACAGTGGTAGCCCATGCTTCAACCCACAAGCTAAATGACTCTTTTTGTCTTCTTCCCTTTGACCTTTCTGGCTTGAGAGGCCTTGCTGTTTGGTGGACTGCCCTGGCATAGCTCTCAGAAAATCAGTCTGTAGCATGTCCTTTGCAGAACCTTACTCTCATTACAAACTTCCCAAAAAACTTCTTGATCACAAGCTAGATGTCCTGCATCCTATACACCCATCTGAAGATCATCCACCACATCCTGCACCCATCTTCTCTTTGGCCTTTCTCTTTCTTCCCAAGAATTTACCCCTTCATTATTATTCCCTCTAAGCTTTCATGACATTCAAGTGACAAATATGTTTCCTTTTTCTGTGTTTTATCGTAGTTAATAGCCAGCCTTCTTCAGTATCTTAGATTATACTCATTGAAAATGTTTTTTTTCTTTTTCAGATATGAAAAGTGACAGAAAACGACTCAAGGGAGAGAAGCTTGACCTTCTGAGCCAGATGAAACAATTGTACACAACTCTGGAGGAAAAGGAGACCGAGTTACGGGAATTTATCCGTAATTATGAGCAGAGAGTTAAAGAGAGTGATGAAATGGTAAAACAGGTATTTGGTTTCATTTTGTGAAAAAAATTTTCATGTCAGTTTAATTGTTTTGTATATGATACAGTTAGTATTTTTAAAAGTCACTTGACCCTCTAAGACATGAGACAAATGTTGACTATGTTACAAATGATTTCAGGACAGTTTTCATACTCTGAGAACCATTAGAATGGAAGCACACATGAGAGTTTTCCCCTTTCTTGATGCAGAATGGAATAAAGGAATGAAGGGAGAGGAAAGAGAAGAGGGGGAAACAAACTAATAAAATTATAAAAGGTATCTTAGCTGAACAGACAGGTCAGTGAGGAAAAGAATTATAGGATGAATAGATAGAAGAATGGCTAGTTGACTGTCTGGCCAGATGAATGCAGGAAGGAAGCACAAACAAAAGTTATTTCCTTTACCTGATGCTGAAAATGCAGTCAGTAATGGAAAAAAGAAGAACAAAAAAGAGAAGATACAAGAATGAATGAATGAATTAATGAATGAACGAATGAATACGCATTTAGACTTTAAGAAAAGAATGGAACCAATCCACTCTTGTCTACCCTTCATTTGTCCGACAGAAAAAGGTAAGCAGTCTATGATTTTATAACAAACTGAACAAGAAAATGCAAAGTGTTTGAGTAGTTTACTACTGTGTCAAAATAGCTCAGATCATGGACTGCAGAACTGTGCCATGTACAACTAGTTCAGAAGGGAATACTGGTCTAATAAGTCAGCCCTTACTGTGGAAGCCCTTTGGAGATAGAAAACCAAAACCAGGATTTGCCTTTCAAAATGCCTTGACAAAAATCACTTGTCACTACACTACTAAATGAAAACAAAATACATTTTTTAACAATTAAAGGAATCTTTGTGAAATTAATGAGGGGGAATAATCAATGGAAATTAATAGAGTAGAGTAATAACTGCAGTCCTTTGGATAATCCAAATATAAAATTCATATTGTGACTCATGATGTTACCTCATGACCCTGATCAAAAAAGGCTAAAGGGATATTATGACATCATTATGCTGACATTATGACTGGAAAAAGCTAATTTTGCCCCACAATAACCTCTCCCCTTTTAACGCTGGTTTTAGTAAATAAAATCATACCCTGGTCCTCCTAAATACTGCACATGAGCACTCAAAACCAAGGTCATTTCTAGATTTGTCAGGGACCAACCACTGCAACAAGGGTGGTCTAGTGGCTTCTTGGTGGACTGCAATGCCAGATTAGTGGAGTTATTGGGCCAGTTTATTATTATGGTTCTCAAAACAGCATGTGACTAGAGAGAAACTTCAGAAGTCATGAATTGACATAAATGCACTGACATATGCTTGGTCTCCTTCTTCACCAGCCAGCAAAGAGTTTCTTTGCTAAGTAGAACATTCAATATACAAAAACACATGCTGTGCCTTTTCTTTTCATTAAAGAACAAAAGTTACGGTAATCAAAAGGAAGACAAATATTCACTGATAAAAAGATGCTAAATGCAGTGAGAACATTTGTTCAAGTAATCTGTGTACTTACACTAGTGTGTAGATGTCTTCTTCTTCTTCTTCCTTAGCATTCTAAGCCCTTCAGGTTCATTACTGCAGATATCACCAACCTTCACTCATCTCTCCGGCTAGCCTTCTCTTTCCAGATGGTGACACCAAGTGTTTGCACATCTCTGTGGACATTATCTCTCCATCGTCTTCTTGGTCTGCCTCATGGAATATGACCATTCAGCTCCCTTGTGTATACAGTTTTTTCCTCTCTGTCATCTGACATTCTCTTAATATGCCCCTACCATTTCAAGCTATTAGCTCTCATGGTGCCAGTGATCAGCGGTGATTTATACAGATTATTTATTTTGTTGCAGCTTCTCACTCTCCATTTCCTGCTCTGTGTATGGTGTGTGTAAGTGAATCATGAAAAATTAACAGACAGTTCGATACATGTCTAAAAGCTCTGAGAAAATCATTTGTATTTTCAAATTCAATTTACTACATTAAAGTCGTTTTACATTCACACTGAATGACCATAGCCAGAACTTGGCCGCAAATGTTTCCTTCCCATATCACTTGACAACGGAAGATAAGGAAGAGGAGGATGATGATGCAGCATTATTGTATGTTGGTCCTCCTGCTTTATTCACTGGTCTGTAGCCAGTGTCCATAACAGAAGCAAAGAATAGAGACACTATATTTGGCTATGTATGTCATAAGAGGAAAATTAGATCAGATGCACCACCGAATATTGACTGCAAGTTACTTCATAAACACTGACAATGTTATCCACCCCAATATGGGACGCATATTTTTTTTTAAACTCCACCCTGGGGGCCCTATATATATCTTAATTGTTGAACAGGGTTTCTGGGACTTGTGCGTGGGTGATTCTTATCTAAATGTTGACACTTTGTGTCACAGTGTTTATCACTCGCTGTGCTGTCCTGGTAGGGTTTAACATCAGACACTCATTTACTCGTAACCATTTTGTGGTGCCCACTAAGAATATAGTTATATGGCTGAACAAGGTTTTCAGGATTTGTACCTGTTTGATTCTCATCACTGAAGTATTAATCCTACAGACTTCAAACCTGGGAAAGAAAAAAGTTTTAAACAAAATCTCAACAGCTCTAGTGATGACCAGGAGCCGCCATGATGTAGCAGCTGGACACTTTTAGGTTCAAATCCAAACAACAAAACACACACAAAAACCCCTTGGCTTCCAGATTCAGTTAGCTTTAAATGGGTACCAGGCAAAGTCTAGGGAAGTAAAAGTGGCCATCTGATGCTTACCATATCATCCACGAAGTGTGACATGTCAGCAGAGTGGCAAGCTTCACTAGCAAGGTCATGGGTAGTGAGCATACTTTGGATCTTTTCTCCAGGCAATACTGGTGCGGTGGGGGAATGAACAGGCAGACAGACTGGCTGGATCTGCACCGCTGGGTGGTGATCTGATACATGACATTACTGATACAAGGCTGATGTGGTCAGAGCCCTTTTGGAACAAGTAATGAAGTCAGAAGAAAAACTAGATTATTATGGGCTGGAGAGAATGATGCACACAGGTGTGACCAGAGGGTTTGGCAGGCACACTACGCTCAGAGGAAAGGCAAGATGGACATACAACCAGACTACGACTTGCACCATTAGAAATGGAACTCTGCACTGGCTGATGGGGACGGAGTGCATATGGGAATGCCCTGAGTGCTGTGATGTCATTTCTTGACTCAACTCAACCCAACTCAGCCCACCAAATGTCAGCTAGACTAAATAATATAAGCCTAGCTCTATATGCCCAATACATCTGAAGGCAGGGAAAAGGGTCCTTTACATTACTTTTTAACTAGTAATGATCCTCTATTATTTTTGAAATATCTACACTTTCAAGCCAATTACAGTCTGATACCAAGCCAAATACCTTCACACCAAAGCACATGACGTTATCCCTTCAACAATGATTTAGGAACTGACATCAGTCTTAATCCAAACTGTTCTAGTAGCACACACATCATACTGTTCTAGTAGCACACACATCATACTGTTCTGGTAGCACACACATCATACTGATCTAGTAGCACACACATCATACTGTTCTAGTAGCATACACATCATACTGTTCTAGTAGCACACACATCATAATGTTTTAGTAGCACACACATCATAATGTTCAAGTAGCACACACATCATACTGTTATAGTAGCACACACATCATACTGTTATAGTTGCACACACATCATACTGTTCTAGTTGCACACACATCATACTGTTCTAGTTGCACACACATCATACTGTTCTAGTTGCACACACATCATACTGTTCTAGTAGCACACGCATCATATTATTCCTCTCATATGTTCTTTCTTGCTGTATCTAAAGCTAATTCCAGATGCATTCAACCTTACACATATTTCATCTAACATAAAATCTTCCATCAAGACTTATTTTAAATAGCCTTCAGAATGTCTACCTTGTTCAAAACGAGTTTTCCTACTGCTGTTGCACCAAAAGAAAATCAAACAAATCTGCTCTTTCCTTATCTTAGACTCCTGCATATCCCACATGGTATATCCACATAAGTCTGTAATGTCGATGTGCTGATGAGTTGCATCTGATCATGCCACAAGTGTTGATTTTGAACCTTCTACACTACTCACTGAGAATCCGTCACTATGCTTTCTCTGGTATCATATCTTTCATCAGCATTTGCTGGTCTTCTGAAGGTTTACTTCAACCAAATTATGAGAAATGAGTTTTCAAGCCAAAAACTATCATCATCATCAAGTGCCTTACCAGCAGGTGTAGGCATTCATGCATATCCACAGATCTTTGTCTTTGGTGTTCTGGACGAATTCCACTGATAATATTCCTCCATGCCCTTGGCATAAGCCTTCCACCATCATTTTCTATTGTTCTGCACCTGCCTCTTCTTTCAGTGATTTTTTTTCAGTGGTCACAATATTTTTCAGTGCTCCTTTTCTCATCACATGACCAAAGAACTTTGTCTCCTTCTCATTGTTGTACATAGTGTTCTACTTTCATTAGCCATTTTCAGGCAATCATTGTTAGTTATTAAAACAAACAAAAAAACAAAACAAAAAAATTAAAGTACTCATTCATTACCTACCACTGCTGTGTACAAACATGAATAAACATTTCATTGTGAGAAACAATATTCCCTTCATTGTTATTATTCGGCAGTTTGCAAAAGAAAAGGAAATGGTCGAGAGAGAGAAATGGGAGATAATCAACAGGGCTAAAGATGCTGCAGAGCGAGCTATGTTTCTGAAGGCTCAGCTTGAAAGCAAAGAACAAAGCATCAAGGAGCTGGAAGCTGAGCTCAAGGAGGTGGGTTCAACTGTATAATAGAATGTAACTCTTATTCTTCTCCTTTTTTCTGCCCTTTATCACCCAATGGAGCATAGGCTCTTAGTCAGGTGTATGGGAATACCCAATGTACAAGGACTCAACTGTGATAAGGTAACACAACATAGACTCTTAACCAGCTCACGCCATGTTGTCCTATTCTTTGCTATCATTTGCCAGTACAAACATCTGGGCACTAAAAATGCAGTTCATTGTTGATGGAATCAGTAGTTTCAACATTTCAGCAACTGCACACAAAGTTAACTGCATAAGGTATGTGTACTACCAATTCTATGGTACCAGGTCATTAGGGATTTTCTTAATCTGCAGTGTACCAAACAAACCATGTTGGGCATTTAAAAAACATTCCACATTAAATCCCCACTAATTATTTTCAGAATCAAAAACTTGCCATGACTTTTAAAAAAAGTAGGCCTGCCTATTCATTGTACTGACTAGAAGTGTGCCAGACAGGGGTTCAGATTCAATCCCCAGAAGTTCCTAAAGAAAGGTACCTCTAGGGGTTACTTAGGCTCATTGAAACTGTTAACACAAATTCCATAATTCTCTGAGAAGTGTGTCAGCAGGGTCCTACCTAGAGTTATTGGTGCACATGGCGACTGGAAAGAAGGGGGTGGAGGGGAGGTGGGAGTAACTTGCATTAGCCATTACTCAATATTTATTGTTTCTTACATTTAATTTCATAAGTTCATAAAAATAAAATCTTATGACTATTCAATTAATATTATTTGAATTTCTTTTCATATGAAATTAAATTAGTGGGTTAACAGATCTTTAATTAATAACTCAAGACACTTTACTGGCCCAAGATCAAAACTACAAATGCTGTTTTTTTATTTTGCTTTTACTGATGTAGACTGGCTGATGAGGTAGTCAAAGTCAATAATTGTCTTCAGCATTTCATTCTTCACAGAGATTAAGAAAACAATTTATTCTGGTGATTCACTAACACACCCTTCTCAGTTATCATCAAAAGAATCTCAAAGAGCTTCCAGATCCAGTGTAGCATCATGAAAGTTCATTCTACCTGTGTGACCCTGTAGAACATCATTAATGCAAATTAGTATCTTGTCTCAAAATCCTTGTGTGTGTCAGAAAAAGAAAAAAAAAAAGAAAGAAAGCAAGATATTCTACAGTTGTGATTTCTCACTGCTGTTTGCATTGGTCTCATGTGTATTGTCTTGACAACAACAGAAGTGAACTTTAAAAGTCTTTTTCCAATGCTGTGTTGAACTTGAGAAGAACTCAAAGAGAGATGTAATAATTTTTTTTTTTTAAATCTAAAATTATTGGTTCCTGCTTAGCTGCATGTTCACTTACCAAGTTGAGTTAGTGATTATCACTTTTGATATACACAGCCAGCTGGTTTCCTCACTATTCTTTGTTGGACCCCTTTATGGTTCCAGACATCATAGTAGCTATGTCAATGCACTGTGATCGAGAATCTTCTTCTCTAGCTGTCTTGAACCAAGCTCTTAGCATCCTACTGGATTAAATAGATAAGACCAGAAAAGAACTCATTAAAACAGATCTCTTTCCTCTTAAAATATACTTTTTTTTTTAAATAATGTAAGCAATGCTGATCATGGGTGAGTGTTTGTACTTTTGTAGAGTGGCACCTTCTGACCTACTTCAACAAAATGAAACTCACTTTTGAGTTTTTGTGTGTGCCCCCTTCAAGCTGCACCCAGGACATCTGCCATACTTAGGTACGCCACTGTGTGTGGAAAGTGGAGATGATGAGGAAGAATGAAAGGTCACATCCCGTAATTTATCCAACAGGTTCAGATTTGCGCTGAGAAAAATACATGGTGGTGCATCTGCCTTTGCCCTGGTCAAACAGGCAGTTACTTTAAAGTGGTTGATTTTTTATTTCAGCCGAAAAAATGTATTTGCTTCTTTATATTAAATTGTTACTTTATTGTGCTCCTAACGAGATACCAGAAAATATGCCGGGCAATAAACAGTGTAATCTGCAGTTTGTCTTCTTTGTTTAAATTTATTAGAGGAAACCCTTGCTTTGAATTACCTTAATGTTAATATGCAAAGTCTTTTGATAATTTGTAGGCAAAAGAGCAACTAGACAGTCACAACAGTACAACACTGAGCTCCTCTACTGCACCAGCCAGTGATGGAAACATCAACAATGATGCAGAAGATGAGGACGACGATGAAGTTTTTCCTTCAGACAATGGCTTCTCAACCATGGAGGAGTCCTCTGTTCTCAACTGCATTTTCATCCAGGATCAAGAGAATGAACTAGGACAAGGTTGAAACTACTGATCTTTTTTTTTTTTGGTTTTTTTTGTGTGTGTTTTGTTTTATGTGCTTGCAAGGGAAGTCATGCTAATACATTTCTCCTTCTTTATGTTCAACCTTTGGAGGGTGGTTGGTGGGTGTTGTGGTTTAAAGCTAGGCTACATTATCTATACTTTCAGCCCAAACATTTTAATTTCAGCAAACCATTACTTGTTTGTCTTTTATGACATTCAAGTTGGGGGACAGTTTAGTCTGGTCTGTTTGGTCAAAAATAGGGCCCCAAAACCCACACAGGGAGTTAACACAGTGACCAGTATATTTACCTGGCTATGTTTGTTCCAATCTTCCTTGAAGCTGGGATCCAGATAAATAATTATGCTTTTATTGAATAACTCAGTCTAATATAAAGTAAAAACCATAAATAAGCCTGTTTGTTTAAACTGTGTTCATAATTTTTTTTTTTTTAGAACATACAGTCATCAGCTCATTAAAGAGCAATATATGGGGTGTGAGGCAGTTTGACCATGTGACGAGAATGCCCAGGTACCAGCTGCCACAGAGGATCAAGCTGAAGAAATATAATGAACAAATAGCAAATGGAAGACTTTGTTAAATGTGAAGCAATGGTATCAAGAATAACTTTAAAGACAAGAAGATAACTTATACCATAAGAAAGAATGAGCACTCCATATGAATAATTCAAATTAGATAATGTACTGTTTAAAACAACTGAATTCTACACTTTCACCCAGAGAACTCTGAAAAAAAATGGGGGGGGGGGGGGGAGGATGGGGAGATATCTGGGAAAGAAATGTAAAACAAAAACCAAGTTTTACTCAAGTCACTAATAAAATCATTGAAAATGTATTAATCATATTTCAAATTTATTTTTTCAAAAATATATAAAGACCTCCTGAATGTTTGCGCAGGTGCCAACTAAACCAGCTGCATTAATGATATATCTTGTAACCAGGTAATGTTAGGCATATATGAAGAATTGGACTCAACTGGGAGTGTCAGTTTTTTTCACTCTCTGGAGTAAAAGATATTCAAAAAGTAATAGAGAGAGCTCAGTTTAGAGAATTTAAAATAAACAGCTAAAGGCAACTAGATTTTCAGATACCCACCGACTTGTTTTTGACTTGATATTATAATTCTATACTTGCCCACTCTACAATTTGAAAAAGAAACCTGGCCTCAAGAGCAAAGTGTGCAGAGCAAGCTATTGAAACCCATGAAAGATCTGCAGCTGACATGTGAGTTCATAAAGGTAACCCACATGATTGACCTGAGCATTCGAATCAGAACGCAAAGAAGAAGAAGAAGATACTGTAGTAAATCTTTTGTTTAAGGAACAATTTTACTCATTAAAAAAGTGTTCTTTTTCTTTAATCCTGGAGCAAATTTGGCTGTTTATGTAGTCCTCAGCACAAGTCCAATCAGCACCACTGAATCAATTGATGCCAGTGGTCCCATGTTCAAGTGGTTTACCCAAAGCTCAGACTTTGAATTGCCTCTGGAGCCCAAACTTAGCAAGCAAAAGAAGAAGAAAAATTTTGGATCTCTGTCACGAGTGTTCAGCCGCAGTCGTATGCGCCGCTCCCTTGCCCTGCCTCATGCAGAGAGTGTCGCTTCAGAAGGTAAGTGCAAAATGTTACAGAAACATTCTTAGAGTACCAGGGATTAAGATGAGGAAATATACTGACATTCTACAATAAGTGAACATCAAAGAAAACTGGTTTATAGACTCTATAGTGTCTCAGATACTGAAATAATGTGCCTCATCAAATGCATCAGTGGCTTACAAATGAGCTGAGTTGAGGTGTCTTCTTCTTCTTCTTCTTCTTTGCATTCACCAGCTGTAAACTCTGGTGGAAAGTTCTGGTTGTTTGTCCACTTCTGGACTGCAGTCCTGTTAAAAAACCTGAGTGTTGCATGTGCATCCATTTTACAGATCTGGCTCATTTGTATGCAGACTGCTGGTTCCTTGCCTCTCAGGCAGATGCATCCCAACTTTGAAGAAAGCTCCCAATTAGTCGACTTTTACGACATGCCTTTTGGTAGGCAATGAGTCTAATCTTGTTTTTCTTATTATAGGGCCCACACAGGTTTGCTTGGAATAAGGATGGGCACACATATAACCAGATTGTGACAGGTACCATCAGTACTGGATCTCTGCGCTGACTGCTGAAGATGAGGATGGAGCATGCATGGGAATGCCCCGATTCCAAGCAGTCATGTAGACACACTCCTCCTAAAATCCTCCAGTTGTCACATTTCTCTAAGGACATTAATAATATTGGCTTAGGAAATAAAAGGCTTGGATCCTGGAAGAAAGAGGCTGCGGATGATGGAAACAAGGCACTGAAGACAGCTTAGGGACTCAGCGCTGAGCATCCTTCCACCCCTCAACCATGTATAGACATTCTCTTTTAAGCATCATTCTATACATTTAATATTATTTCAAACATGTTAATGTAGTTATTTACAATTCAGCACAGTATTATTACTACTAATAATATTGGGTACTTAAACAAGATTTTATTTTTTATTTTTAATTGAAAGTCCTTCCTATAGGCCATAATAATAGAGTGACTTTCTGCATATGGCTTTTTACAAGATAACAATGAATTCTGCATTATTTCTTTTATATTTGCTTGCACATACCAATGTAATAAATGCTAAATAAAGCACAAAATATGACTAGAAAGCTCAATGGAGGGAATAGAAATGATGCACACAAACACAACCGTAGCGTTTTGACCAAAGTCTTTATCAACGGAGTACTAAATACAGCACAAACTGTGACTAGAAAACTCAATGGGCAAGATAACAGAGCTAAGAAAAAAATCAAGGTCAACATGAAACCAAAAAGTATGTAATGCGGGAAAAGTATAAATAGGAAGGCTTCAATACTAAATGAAATAATAAAGGCAGTGTATGTGTAATAAAGGGTAAAAAATATGAATAAGTAAATAAACCAATTAAATTAAATAAAGCTGTGTTGAATATTGATTTCTCCAGGACTTAGAACACCAAATCTACAGATGAAACAATTTTCTAATGAGTAGCGGCTGGTTTGATAACCGGAACAGGATTTAATAGCAGTGACTGGGATATGATTTTTTCTTTGGCAGTTAGAACTGTTGAAATAGAGGGAGACAGGTTTGACAGCATATTCTGAATGTTAGCAAGATGTTCATGGAAGCGATATGCTAGCTTCCTACCGGTTTCCCTAATATATGCCTTTTTACACCTTTTGCAGATGGCATAAATTAGGTTAAGCGATTCACAAGAAAGTGCTTCTATCACTTTCAGTTATGTTTGTGTGCATCATTTCCACTTCCTATGTTGAGCTTTCTAGTCATATTTATTGTTAAATTTAGCATTTCTTGCAATCAGATCGACTGCAGTCACCTCTATTTAAGAGATAGCCATTAAACCTACATCTCTTTTCAGAATCAAACACAAAGCTATGTGTCCTTAGCCAGGACAACTATCAGGAGAAGCTGAACATCATAGAGAAGATGGTTGGCGTCAACATGAAAGACTGGCGAGCACCACAAGTTCTTGCCTGGCTGGAGATCACTTTAGCCATGCCCATGTATGCCCAAAACTGCCTGACTAACGTCAAAAGTGGAAGGGTAAATCCTGCTTGCATTCAATGACAACATTTAAGTTTCCGGGGAGCCATTCTTCTTCCTATGATTCTTTTCCTGTGTTCCTCCTCTTCCTTCTATATTTCCTCCTCCTCCCTTTTTTTCTTCTCCTTCTTCTATTTCTACTTCTTCTTTTTCTTCTTCTTCTTGCATCCACTTTTATCCACCAAAAACATTACAGGAATTAACTATAAGTGCATGAAAGATAGATTAAAATACAAATTTGCATTTACAGAGAAATACTTTGGAATATAAGGAAGTTAATCACAATAACCAAACTATGTATGGAAGACACTTACAAAATAGTAACAAATAAAGACAGAAAGTCAGACCCTTTTAAAAAAACATCTGGTTTAAAGCAAGGTGATGATCTGTTCCCACTTCTTTTTAACTTGGCCCTAGAGAAAATTATAAAGAAATTGAAATAAGAGTGTACTTTAGGAGAAACTACAAGAATACTTGGTTATGCAGATGACATTGACATAGTTGGAGAAAATGAACTAGACTGTAAAAACAGTAATTCTCTCTAAAGAAGCAGCTAACAAAAAAATGGCTAGTTATCAGTCAAGAGAAGACATAATAGACGATAATAAAAAGACAGGGAAAGGATATAAATTCTGGCCACATAGGAGTCGATAATATAAAAATCAAACGAACAGAAACATATGTTATTGGATGCAAACTTCAACTGCTCCAACATGCTGAGAGAAGAAATACAATCTAGAATACAAACTGTAAATAAAGTATATACTATGCACTTCATAAAATATGAAAAGAAAACTGTTTGAAGGAAAAAAAAAAAAAACAGAAACACATGAATGCAATGGAATATGGTTTTCAAAGGAAAAGAAACCACCCAGAAGAAAAACATGTGCTTGTATCCTTGCAAAGCTGAGGGTGATCTTCACAACAGCTGCAAGGTTCATGGTTTGTGCAATGCTCACAACTAGCAGTTCTGCTGAGAGAGATTGAGTTAAACTGGATGAAAGCCAAAGAACAGAAAGTCCAAGTCCAAGTCCTTTTGAGAAAAAAAAAAAAAGAAAAGCTCGACCACGTTCAGACTGCTGCTAGCTAGCCTAGGCTGCTAACAGTCTCCGCCTATATTTGTGGTCGAAGACAGACATGCTGCTTTTATACAACTGGATGGTCATTTAGTGATGACAAAATAGAAAATATTAAAATGCTTTTAGGAATATATGAACAAACCAGAAGAGCGAACAAGTCACCACAGTCTAGAAATAATGAAGCATATGGGAATGATCTGAGGATCTGGCAGATACTCAACATTCAAAGAGGCACCATTCTTCATCTTTTTCTTCTTAAAGTTGAATGGCTGTAAACTCCAGCAGACAGTTCTGGTTGCTTGTCATCTTCTGGACTTTGGTCTTCTTCAATATTTTGAGTTTTGCATGGACATCAGATTTACAGATCTGATTTATTTGTATGCAGGCCCTTGGTTTCTCACTTCTAAGTCAGACTGCACTCAGACTTCGAAGAAAACATCCCTGCTTAGTCGCCTTTTACGACATGCTTGTCAAGGGTGGTAGTGGGTTTATTCTCTTTTCCCTTAAAATGGTACCCTAGAACCTAGAAGAGGTATCTGACACCACTAAAATAAGAACACCCCACTCACTGCTGAAGATAAGGTAGAGCATTTATGTGAATGTCTTGAGTACTGTGATGTTAGTTAACTCCTTAAAAATCTTTGAGTCCCAGGGGGTTTGGCATCAGAGGCCCAAGGAGCAGTCAAGAGAGACGTAGAGACTTAAAAATTGGTGCATCTTGCCCTAATTGGGCTTCTAGGTAGGAACCTATAAACGTATGATGCGTTCCTTGGGACTAAAAGAGTTAAGTTTGTCCTGTTGACTACAGAAAACCCATGTTTGCTATGGATTTATTCTGACCCTTGTCAATCTGCAGGTACTTCTGGGCCTCAGTGACAGTGAGCTGAGTGCAGCTCTGGGTGTGGTGAACCCCATGCACAGACGGAAGCTGAGACTGGCCATAGAGCAACATCGTAATCCTAATGACATGTACGTACTTCATGTATATTCTGTCTATGAAATATGTATGCTTGCTAACCTTTTTTGCCACTTGAATGCCGAAACTAAGCTAATCATCTATCCCCAAGTGAGACACAATTGTTTTTGTTATTTTAAAGCCCCACTCTGGCTGTTGCCTGGGGTACTAATACAACCCAACCTATGGGTTGAACGGGGTTTCTGGAACCTCTCCATGGATGATCCGAATCTGAATGGTGGAACTTTGTGTCACCTGATGTTTATTGCTCAGTTTGATGTCCTGGTGGGATTGAACATCAATCAAGTGAGACCTAAACCTGTGGGAATTCTAAGAAAAAATCATTAAAACAAAATCAACTATATTAGACAGGGTAGTGCCCTTTTTTTTTGATTACTTAATTTTTTGTGGTTTTAAAATATATGAAGATATATAAAGCGGTAATTAACATGAACAGAGTGAAACTTTAAATGGAATAATTTCCTGAGGACTAAATAACCAAAATGCATCAGGTGACTCATGCTGTGACCCCACAACCTCTATCACTGAGGCATAAAGGCACATTTTACAGCAACTTAGCATTAGGAAAGATGTTAGGGCCATAAGAAAACCCCTCCTCAGTCATTGGATACTTAGTTAGTTAGCTGCATATCCTTTACAGGACATTGCAGAACCAACCCCATCATTTTTTGGCTGTTGTGGATTTTATTAGGCAAATTTACATCCAGTAGTTTGCCATTGCTTTCTGGACAGTCGGCTTTTCGATACCACTGTCAAAACCAACACAAGGTGCAAGGCCCGCAGCTAGGATCAAACCCAGCACCTCGGCATTATGAAGCGCGTTCACAACCACTGAGCCACAGACGCAGACATTGGGTACTAATTGTTGTATATAATTATAGTTCTTACATCGAATGCCCATTACACCTGAAGACAAGGAAATAGAACAATTGAAACACTTCCCATCCAGGACACGTGTGTAATCAGTCTTAGGCCTTCACCTTAAAAAGGTAGTTGGCATGTTGTGACTGTGATTGACATCTTGGCTGCTAGATATTTTCATCTTTCGGATTGACACAGTTTCAGGAGAACCCTAGTTATTCACCTTTTACATGTTAGCTAGGGAACCTGTGAGTCTATTCTTTGTTCTCCCACAATGTTGAATGTTGCTGAATGTTGAATTAAGAATCGACATCACAGCACTCGGGACACCCCCATAAGTGTTCTATCCCCATCTTCAGCAGCAAGCAAAGAGTAAAAATTATAATGGTACCAGTAACTGTCTGATTGTATATCTGTCTTACCTTTCCCCTTGAGTATCAAGCGCTGGCCAGATCCCCTTGTAACTTCTCGCAGTGGCATTCTGCTCAGACCATAATGATCTGTCTGTTCCTCAGCACTGATTCTTCTCCAACAAAAGGTCCTAAAATCTGCATGGATATGTGTGTGTTTAATTATGTATGTGTGTAGTATCTATTGTGAAATATTTTTAATAACAGAAAGTATCTGAAGGCAAGTGAAATGGACCCAACCTGGATTGCCCATCGATTCCTGCCGGACCTTGGTCTCCCGCAGTACACAGACATATTTGAGGAGCAGCTGTGCGATGGCCATGTGCTGAACACTCTAACTCGCCGGGACCTGGAGAAGCATTTCTCTGTGCATCGCAAGTTTCACCAGTCCTCCATTTTGCATGCAGTAGAGTTGCTGCGCCGGATTGATTTCAATAAAGAGGTAAAGGTTGTAAAATAGTCTTGTCTTGATAATATAAATTGTAGGCTTCAACCATCCTAAAGTAAGCATCCTTTGAAGTCGGAGTGTATTTGCCTGAGAGGTGAGGAACCAACATGATTTTATTTGATTTGATTCAAGAACCGACATCACAGCACTCGGGGCATTCACATAAGCGCACCGTCCCCATCTTCAGCAGCCAGTTCCGATATTAATGGTGCACGTAGCATTCTGATTAAACGTCCATCTTGCCTCTCCTCTGAGCCTCGAACATCTGTCAGAACCTCTCGTCCCTGCCCCCTGCATCAGTCTCACCAGACTGTGGTAATCAATCTGCTCCTTCGAACTGTACACCCTCTCCCACAAGGCACTAACCACGTCTGCCTTATCATGTATCAGTATTCCACCAAGTTGTGCAAAGCCAGCCAGTCTGTCCGCCTGTTCATTTCCCAACACAGCGGCGTGACAAGGTGTAAAAATCTGGACAATACTCCTCAACTATGTCCACCCCAGCGAAGCATGCCACTCTGCACGAAGCATACCTGTACAGATCTTACTCAGCATGCTTTCTGAGTCAGTTATAATCACAATGTGTGTATGTGGGTTGTGTTCTCTAGCCAGTGGAAAGCTGCAGTGACCGCCTCCACCTCCATTCTTAAGCTAGATGTTGTGGTATCATATGCTAGGCTCTCCTGCACCAAACACCAACCATTAACTTTTGCTAAAAAGCCCCAAGCACTTCTTTTGCCTCTTGACACTGAACCGTCTGTATAAATGATCAAATCCTCTGAGCGAGCATTATTCTGAATTAATTGCTGAATTTCCACCTCCGTCGCACCTGCTGGCTAGTCTCTGCATTCCCTGTTCAGTGTAATTATGACTCTACACAAGTCTAAGTGTTCAGGTGGCAGTATGACCCACTCTTCTACTTGCCTTATGTTCTCAAGGATGCAAACTTGTCTGATTGTGTCTTCTGCCTGAGCCATCCATGACCTCCCTCTTATCAGCTGCTGACCCTTAAGTGCACCCAGAGCTTCATGCAAAGGGTGGTCTGTGTCTGCAGCTACCCTGAGATATGACTACGCCTGCATCACCTTGTGCCTACCTGCAACCGTCGGCAAACCAAGGATGTCTCGCATACACACCACTGGGGTGTCTCTGGTGCAACCCAGAATGACCCGCATAGCTGCGTTCTGTATGCGCTCTAGTTTGTCCATCTGACTCTTTGAGACGGTAAGCAGTCCCAGGCCATAATACACCACTGACAGGATCAGGTGCTGATATAGTTTGAAAAGCATTCTCTGCTCTATGTCAATTGTAGCCATAGTCTTAAGTGCACTAAGTCCTTTTTGGCATCTCGTCACACCACTCTCCACGTGGTCCTTAAATGACAGGCTCCTGTCAAATGTAATTCCCAGATACTTCGGTTTGCTCTCTCTGTTGATGTCTCTACCATCTATCGTGAGACTTGGGACATTAGTTTTAACGATTCTGTTGTCCAGAGAACACCACAAATCAGAACAGCCTTTTCCGGGTGGACGACAGCACTCATTGCTGTACACCACCCAGTCACTTTGTCTACTGTTGCTTGTAGCTCCTGGGCTGTTTGTTCCCTCTCTTCCCCCTGCCTATATGCAAGTATATCATCCCCAAAAGTCAGTATCCTTCCAACTCCTGGTGCTTCTAGGCTTGCAATCTTGCTCGTATACACGTTAAAGAGCACAGGTGAGAAGGTGGATCCCTATGGCAGTCCTGGGGCCAAACTGCATGGTTCTGAGGTCCATGAGCCCAGTCGTAGAGCAACCCGACATAAATACAGGACAGCTACAACCCAATTCACCAGCCATGGACTGACCTCCTTCTCCTTCAGTGCAGTCATTAAGATGTTGTATCTCACTCTGTTATAAGCATCCTCAAGATCCAGTCCTACCGCCATAGTTTCCTGTCTGTTCTGGAACGCTTCATAGACATCAAAACAAAAGTGACCGCATTTGCCAATGTGTCCTTTCCTGGCCTGTAGCTTCCCAGATCTCTTGGGAGAAGCTTCCCCTTTCCAAAATTTCTTGCAGCTTTACAGCAACTATCTTCTCCAAGACCTTAAAAAATGTGTTTTGTAAGGTGATGATTCTAAAGCCACTGAGCTTAAAATGATTTTTAAAAGGTTTTGGTAGAGGGATTAGATAGCTGTGCACCCAGTCCTGCGGTACTGATGCTGTCTTAATGCTCTGGTTAAAACAGTCGGCTATCTCTGCCAGGTCTACATCACTCAAAGCCTTTATATGACCTTCACGTGACCTTCATGTGAGTAACCAACAGTCTGCATAAAGTCAGATCTGTAAAAGGGATGTACATGCAGAACTCAAGTTCTGGAACCAGACCCAAGTCTTTAAGTAGATAAACAACCATAGATTTCCCATGAGAGTTTACAGCTCATGAATGCAAAGACAAAGAAGACCAGTAAGTTAAAGGAATGCCTACTCTACATATAAAGACTGACTCTGCAGGTTATGTGAACTCATGGTTCAAGAAACAAAGAAAAAAAAAAGTGTATACCAGCATACTCTGTGGAGAACTGAGCTCTGAGTTGGATTATCTTCACAGCACTCAGGACATAAGTGCTCCGATGTTCCCTTCAATATATTCATCAGTGTTGCACAGTTATTATTGCCAGTCATATGCTGGTTAACAAGACCTCTTGTGCAACATGTGTGCCTCTCATGCTTGGGTGTGCATATCTTTACTCCCAATTCTCATATTCTTATCAGCGGTGTGAATATTTTGCTGCCAAAATCCTCAGAATGACCTATCTTTCTAAGAGAATTGACAGTGTCTGTGTAATCCATAAGCAGGTCATCAGCAACTGATGCAGAACCAGCCAATCTTTCTGCTCTTTATTGCCAACAACACCTGCATGCCCTGGGACAAAGATGAAGGTAACTGCACACACAAGAAAGTTTTGCTATGACTAAGTCTACTGCAATTCGAGCCTGCCTTGACCGGCTGGATCATACTGATAGAATCACTCAGCACAAACACACACGGGAATAGTCTAGTCACATGCTTGTGTCACCACCATCACTTCCATCGTCATAGAGAGGCACCACTGGCTTCTTGGACTATTCTGCCTGAAGAGCAAGCTTTAATGCCCATGCACTCTTCTGTCCTGTTATAAAGGATCCAACTGTGAAGATTAGCACATCTTATCTGATTAGTCACTGATAAACACACAGACCTTAGCATTGACAGCAATAGGGTTCTGCTCCCGACAACTTACCAAGCGTATTAACACAGGAGAAGGTGAGCTTAAGTGCTTTAGGCACTGAGCAAATGTACATTTGCTGCTTGCACTTATTTTTGAAGTGTTCTGGGGCTAGTTGTTGTTCACCAGTTTTTCAGACAAGACAGTGAGGGACATTTCATTTGATTTTCACTGACACCAGAAAGGAGCAAGTATGTGGAAACTCACCTGCAGTAATGTTGAAACCTTGACTAAGACTAAGACTAAGGCACCGATATCCATTCCTCACCAGAGTGGATATCTGTAAGGCTGTAGACCTGCTTGATATCATTCTTTGCCCTACCCAGCCATGATTTGCCCCGTTTTAATTTGTTGCCCTCTTTTCCTGAAAAGCATGTTGTGCAAAGGGTGCTACACATCGGAGCTTATTTTGAGGTATGCGTGAGCCCTCAAAATCTTGATCCTGTAGAGAAATCAAGAAGGTATCTTACTGCTACATAGTGCTCTCTGTGAAGAGTTTTGGTTATCCAATGCACCTAGGTCAGATGGAGATAGGTAAAAGAATGAGATTACCACATTCAGCAATCTTACTAATTTCAATCCAAATCATTGCACTAGTCACTTTCATTGCTTTATGAATGCTAAGTAGTCTTATTCACTTGTGATGAATAAACAAAAATATCGATTGCTCAGGAACCTTTTGGCCATAGAAAGGTCACTACTGCCTGTAGTTACCCAATATTAGGGAGGTGTGGGACACAAGATCTTGTGTCTGGGGATTTAGGGCCACACGGCTAGTGAAGTTGCCAAAAACTGTGCAGGATAGTATTTTAGTTAAGTGCCACCCAGGAAAGAGAGTGACTTCCTATGCCATTCATGGCTCGTCGGGTCACAGGACCTCTCCTATGTTGTGGGAGTGTTATGATATGGGTTAGTTTGGCATCCACTTGGCATTTATAATGTTCGTGTGAGGTTGTGTTGTCATGAGTGGATCTGAGGTGCTGCAGGCACCTGTGTACAAGTAAGAAGTACTGCAGGGAGGAACACTGCAGGTGTGACTTTTCTTGAGTATCGAATAATCATCACAGGAGAGAGAGGTGAGAAGACGAGAAAAGAGGGAACGGTTAAAGCATTGGCAATAAAGAAAACATGACACCCTGCAACATAGGAGATGTCCTGCATCCCAATAAAACATGAATGGCAAGGGAAGTCACTCTCTTTTGGGGCTGAGAAGCATAAAATGAAACAATATTATTATTGCCCGCAAAAGAGACAAATGCATCACATTATGGGGGATTACAATTTGGTCTCCTGTTCTTCTTAGTGTTCACTGGCTGTAAACTCCAGCCTATAATTCTGGTTGTTTGTCCACCTCTGGACTTTGGTCTTGTTCCAGAACCTGAGTTTTGCATGCACATCCATTTCACCAGTCTCTGACTTATTTGTTTGCAGACCACTAGTTTCTTGCCTCTCAGGCAGATGCACTCTGACCTCTAAGAAAGCCTCAATTAGTTGACTCTTATGACATGCTTGTTGGGGAGGTAGTGAGTCTGTTGGAACCCTTGCAGGGACCTCTAATGATTGAAATAGCATGATACATTTTAAATTGCTATTTAGTCTATAAAATATAGGTCTAGCACTATATGGCCAATACGCTTCAAGTCTGGAAAAGGATCCCTAATGACCCATTCAAAGAAGTAGAGGAAAGAAACACAGGCAGAATACGCTAAATGGTCTCAGTGGAACCCCAAAAATATACATTTTTTCTACTTTGCATTTGCTTGTTTTATTGTAAAATTCCAAGTAAAACAGGGGGAAATTATGGGCAAAGCCTCCAAGAACTAAAAGAGTGGATGAGCACTCTATACATAGAACCAGGTTTTTATTACACCCGTACGCATTACCAGCACCTTTTTATTGCCAACATTTTTTTGCTCACCACTCTAATAGACAATGTGTTGTGAATATTGCCAGATATTTTATACACTTTTTTGGAAGTTTTACTGGCTAGGGTGATTTACTATCATGAGCTGAAAACAAGACATTTGGCTAATATTTTGAGCTGAAAACAGGACAAAACAAGCACGTCAGTTTAACCTCCACAACTCGCTCTTCCTCTTTTTTTCCGTTCTCACTTTCTAGGTCACCAGGATAAAGGGTTAATTACTTACTCTACAATAGTTTTAAAACCAGACTCATTGCCACCAAAAAGTAAACAAAACAATATGTCCTTCAATTGCACTGAAAAAAAACAAAACATGATACAATGAAAATTCCCATCAACTCATTTCAACTCAAGTATCTAAAAAGCATGAAATCTGTAAGGTCATCGTATGCAAATATATGTTTATGTTTCTGTTCTACAAGTTTGCTCCTAGATTTTTCTTTAATGGACAATGGGCACTTTCTTGGAGTAATGATGAGACCACTGGGCACTGAAAAAAACAAAAAAACAAGACTGTCCTGGTGAAACATCTTATTGTCCCTATTTTACTAGGAAAAAAAAAAACTTGCTTAGAACCTAACATACTGTTGGTTTGTTTTGCTTGGCAATATGATTAGCTTTTAACTTGCAGAAATATACACTCTTCTGATCAATTTAGTTCTAAAGAAATTGTATATCTGGAAAAAAAACAAATTCTTGAAATAAAAATTTTGAAAAAAATAAATATATAAGAACATATAATAACTACATGCAAAATGTGCTGTCTCCGCAAGGTCACTAACAACACAAGAAGAGACAGGGTTACAAATACCAGTAATAGAGAGAAAGTTGGAATAAGAACATGTCTGATTTACATTGACAGACAAAGAATGAAATAATTCAGTAATCTGGTGAGAATGCGGCAAGACCAAACTGCATACAAGACATTTTACAGCAGAACATCTGGGAGGAAGGCAAGAGGAAGACCAAGAAAGAGATGAATAAGAGATGAATAAGAGATGTAGCCGAAACCTGCAAAAAGATGAACAAATTCATCACCTAAGCCACCCAAGAAACACAAAGCAAATACAGAAAACTACAACACTGGACTACAACCTGGTATTAGTAAGATGATCACACACACACACACAAAAAGAAGAAAATGCTGATTTTTGAAAATATTATATAAATTACTATTTCACATTCTTTTGAATGATATCTTTTTTCAACAGAAACTTTACCATCGTCGAAATTTGAGCGAAGATAAAGATATTGATCTAATTGTGTGGACAAATGAAAGGTTGATGAAGTGGATTCGCAGCATTGATCTTGGGGTGAGTTTACACTGTTATATAAATATTTTGTTACATCCTTGCCAACCAGACATTGTTGATAATGTAAGTTTTTTTCATGATTTTCGTCCTGTAGTTTTAATATTGTATTTAAACATTTGTGCATGTTATTATGTGTGTGTGAGAGGGAGGATTAGAGAAAAGGAAAAAGAGTTAGAGACAGACAGGCAGACAGACTGATATCAGACATTGACAAAAGACAAGACAGTCGGACAGACAGACATAAAATACAGAGGAGAAGAGAGAACAGGAAACAGGGTGGCAAAGGCGAACAGAGAGAGGCACTGAGATTGAGAGAGCCATACCATGAGACACACACAAAGAGAAAAAATTTAAAGACAGAGAGACAGGGATAGACAGAGAGAATGAGGATAAAAAGGCATTTCAACATCTTCTTTCCCTTTCTATCCTTTATCCGCCCAAAAAGGATAGGTGCTCAAGCAACTCAAGCCAAGTCATCCGATTCTTTGCTGTTGCATGCAGCTCACACCCCTCCTCCCCCTCACCCAACCCATGTCCACCCTTCCTTTTTAACTTTACTCTAGTCCTCTTTTGTATGTGTTTTTTAGAGACAGATATATATATATGTATGTATAGAGAGAGATAGATAGAGAGAGATAGATAGAGAGAGAGAGAGAGTGAGAGAGAGAGAGAGCAGAAGTTTAACGCACATACAGCCAGACAGTTCCAATAGAAAAACACTACCTTGAGCTAATAAATTTAAGAAAAAAAAAATATTTCCTAGGAATACTGTGAGAATTTACTGGAAAGTGGAGTTCATGGATCAGTTATTGTTCTGGAACCATCGTTCAATGCTGACACTCTGGCATCTATCCTTGGAATTCCACCATCAAAGTCATACCTGAGGCGACACCTTGCCTCAGAGCTGGAAAACATTTTAAAGCCAGCCAGGTATTTTTTAGTTAATTGTCCGGATTTATTGCTTACTGAATTGATGCTCTTCAGTATAGAAATTAAACAAAGTACTAAATATTAAATAATTTAAATAACTTAAAAGTATGTTCTCAAAATTAAGAAATGTTTTGCCAAAAAGCCAGGAAACATAATAAAAGAATATTATTCATATCAGCACTGTGTTAACAGTGCAGGTTTTGCATATTAAAGGCTGAAATATGTCAAATTAACACCTGCAAGATTAATTGGCTGAAGAAAGCCACCAGTATCACCATCCAAGATCTAGTGTTTAGTAATAATATCAGACAGACTGTGGGAATAACACCTTGCACCAAATTCATTGAAGGCAGAAGATCAAATAAAATGCCCATCTTGTTGGAATGCAGTCACAACTACCAACACCCATGCTAAACCTAAAAAACATGTGACATGAAACAAAAGGCCAAGGGAAACTGGATTGATGAAATCAAAGACATTCTATATCCACATAGAATTACAATATTTAGTGCTACCTATCCAGCAGTGTATCACAGACTGTTCCTCCCAATGACACTTATCAACAAAAGTGGAAATTAATTCTGATAATAATGATGAACTGACTCACAAATTGAACTGGTCACCCACATCAGACAGAGACAATCTACATTCTTTGGTCATGTCATGAGAAGGCGAAAACTGGAGTAAATCGCGATGGTGGGATAGTTGGAGGGGAAAAGAAAAGCAGACACAGAGACTGGGAGAGAAGATGCTGGATAATATGAGGTCATGGCATGGACGATTATCTGTTTTAGAACTGATTGAAAGCCATGGATATAGCTGGGCCATAAATATGGCCTAATGACTGAAAGGGGTTTCTGGGACCTCTCCATGGGTGATCCTCATCCGCATATTGGTACTTTGTGTCATCGGGTGTTTATCACTTGTGTGATGTCCTAGTGGTGTACAGTAAAAGAGAGACAATGAAAAGGCAACTTGAAAATAGAGTCTGAAAATGTGAAAAACATTTTATAAAGAGGTAACTGAAATATTTGGGCCAAGTGAAAAGACATAACACTCTTTCAAAATCCATGCTGGAGAGAAACATCAATAGCTAAAGAGCAAGTGGTACAGAGTGATTCAAATGTAATGTGAAGACAACATCAAGAGATGGATGAACAGTTGTCTGAGACAGTATACAAAAAAAACAAGAGACAAATCAAGTTAAAGATCCCTTACTGCCAACTTTTATGGTGGAGATAGCACCTCATTGATTGACTGATGAGAAATCAATAAAACATGTGTGAGAAACTCTATGAAGATACCACCATATTGTTATTTTACATCTTTTAGAGAAAAGGTGGTCTTCATTACATTGTTTTCTTCAGTTCCAGTTTTTGTAATATATCTTTTTGTTTTCTCTTCTCTTTTGCCTTATTCTTTTATGTATGATACATTAAAAATGTTTAGTTTTACATTGAAATTATTTATTGGTTTATTTACAACAGGGCAGCTCTAGATGCTGCTGACTGCAGGGAGAAAGTAAGCAATAACAGCACATCCAGCACCAATAAAACAAGTACAGGATCGCAGGACAAGGACCTGTCAGGATTTGAGGACACAGGTCGCAGGAAATCAGTAGAGGAAGGAAGGTCAAGACTGAGTTTTAGGGTTTGTGGGAATTAACATACTGTCTGAATGAGGTTGTGTCCCCTCTTGCCTCCTCTTTTGTCAATATATAGTTCTGAGGATGATTCTTTAGACATGGTCTTTCTTTGTGGCTGGTTCCTTTAAGAATATGTGTTGGTCTTTTGTTGTGGCTGGTTCCTTTAAGAATGTGTGTTGGTCTTTCGTTGTGGCTGGTTCCTTTAAGAATGTGTGTTGGTCTTTCGTTGTGGCTGATTCCTTTAAGAATGTGTGTTGGTCTTTTGTTGTGGCTGGTTCATTTAAGAATGTGTGGTGGTCTTTTGTTGTGGCTGGTTCCTTTAAGAATGTGTGTTGGTCTTTCTTTGTGGCTGGTTCCTTTAAAAATGTGTGCTGGTCTTTCGTTGTGGCTGGTTCCTTTAAGAATTTGTGTTGGTCTTTTGTTGAGGCTGGTTCCTTTAAGAATGTGTGTTGGTCTTTTGTTGTGGCTGGTTCCTTTAAGAATGTGTGTTGGTCTTTCGTTGTGGCTGGTTCCTTTAAGAATGTGTGTTGGTCTTTCATTGTGGCTGGTTCCTTTAGTAATGTGTGCTGGTCTTACTTTGTGGCTGGTTCCTTTAAGAATGTGTGTTGGTCTTTCGTTTTGGCTGGTTCCTTTAAGAATGTGTGTTGGTCTTTCTGTGTGGCTGGTTCCTTTAAGAATGTGTGTTGGTCTTTCATTGTGGCTGGTTCCTTTAAGGATGTGTGTTGGTCGTTCGTTGTGGCTGGTTCCTTTAAGAATTTGTGCTGGTCTTTCGTTTTGGCTGGTTCCTTTAAGAATGTGTGTTGGTCTTTTGTTGTCCCTGGTTCCGTTGAGAATATGTGCTGGTGTTTCTCAACTTGTAGTTTTCAAAACTGTGGGGTGCACAACAGTTTCACTAAGTGTCAAGCAAGAATAAAACTGTACTTATGATAATATTTTATACCAATATATTTTTTCGTTTAATTATAAATAAAATATTTTTTTTTAAATTTTTTATAAAATAAAAAGCCAATGATGTTTTTATTAGCAGTTTTTATACAAGCTGTTAACAAAATCTCCTTAATTCTATCAGGTCCAATAATTTTGACAGACTTTTCCTTTACAAAAATGGCAGAGGGGGTGGTTTAGAAAAAAGGCAATTGAGAGCGCAATATAATTCCTACAAACATATATATTTAAAAAAAGAGAAATGAATAATCATTTTAAATCTGATGATATGATTTTTCTTTTATAATGTTATAATTAGTAGGATAATGAATTCAACAAGTGTTATGTTCACAAAGACAAAATTTTACTTCCCAAAAATCTTTACTTAACATGGTTTTGCAGCCACAAGAGCAGTGAATATTTAAATTTAAGAATAACACTTCAAAGTTTGTTCAGTTAAACAAATTCAAAAGTTCTGATATGTTTCTGTCTTAGGTTATCATTCAGAGGCTCTCGGTTTTCATAGAGTTCTTAACAAAATTTCAAAGCAAAAATAGCAGAGAATTGAACCAATACACACACAATTTTAACTTTGTACAGTTATATACAGACTGTAGCTGCAATTATTTCAGTGCAGCGTGACCATAGTAAAGTACTGTCTGAAACAGCATTGGATGCATTTTTGGGTGACTATCATCACATCCTTCACAAATGAAATGGGTCCTGTTGGGTTTACCTTGTCAGAAAAGCTGACAGCTCAGCTGCCACTGGTGTAAATTCACCATCTGGGGCTGCATGGTCTCAAGGCATGGTGTCTGCCTTGAGTGCCGGAGGTTCCGGGTTCAATCCCCGGTAAGGGCTAGAACTTTTTTTGGTTTTGACTTGGACTTCTAGTGATTCCCCTGGTCTCTGGGTAGTGAGATTGGATGCCCATGAGCATTGTTGCACACATAAAAAAATGCTTCAGCAGTTGGAAATCGAAAATAGTAGCCTAACGTCGCTACCCGGGCAAAATTTAGAGTATTTCAGGATCCTTGCTAGTGCTACAGAGCCTGTGCATTGTACTGAGCTTCTTCAGACTCAGACTTGAGTTAGATGAAGAACTTAAAGGGTTACTACCCATGTGCCATGATTTTGGTCCATTGTTTAAACCTCCATTACTGTCTGTCATTTATGTTATTAGAATTAAAAAACATCTGACTGAACAATTACAGAGCTTTAGCCACAGAAAGGCATTATTGACATTAATTTTAATGGGAACATATAGTTTCAGGACATGAGTTATTCACTTAATGTGCTCGGTCATGGAATGAATTAAATTCATATCCTGAGATTCCACTGTACACTTTTGAAGTAACTGAAAAGAAACAAAAACTGAGTGTATCCCAATTACAACACAGAAAAATTGAACATGATATATCAAAAAAGAATTACTGGCTGTATATATATTTATATATATATATATTTTTTTGTTTTAAAGGAATCAGCTACTCTTGTTTCTAAAACAGTCTCACTATTTATATTTATACAGGGCTCTCTTGGCAGAACTGCTGGGAAGAAAATACGAGACGACCTCCAGCTGAACTTACAGTCACAACCCACAAGACGGAATTTCTCAGCTCCAGTTTTACTCATTTCAACATTCAAGTAAATCAGGTCCTGGGCATGAAAGTCTTCATGTACACAAGATGATATATATATGTATATGTGTGACGAATATATATGTATATTCACACCCATAGACATATAGACAGCTGTATTATGACACTGTGCAGCTGCACAGGGTGGAATATTTTTGGGTTGGAAAAATTCCACAACTTATTGTTGTTAGTCTGTAAATGCATAGCAATGCTGAAGTTTTGCTAAGGGAAAAGGGGGCGTAAAATAAGTGACCACCTACTGGCATCATATATCCTGAATTCAGCCATATGATATATATATATATCTTCTTCTCACCCCACACCCATCTTTTTCTTCTATTCCTTCCTTTCTCCCCCTACCCTTGCTACAAATTTCGTCCGTTTCTTTTGTTAAAAATGCATAGATTCTGGAGACTGGAAATGACAAGAGAGTTAGAGAAATTTAAAAAGAAAAGCTCCTGGAGATATTTTGTTGGCTGTAAAAGACAGAGGGTAGGCAGGCAAAAAGAAGCATAATAATACAAGTTGGAGGACAACATAACTAGGAAATGTTCAGCGATGTAAAGCTGGTTGGTATAATATTGAACACATGGTTCCCTGAGTCTCAGGTTGTTTATAACAATATGGCACTAGCACCATATACTCAATTTGTCTTGGTTTAAAAACAAAACAAAACACATAGCAACAGAGAGATACTGACATTATAAGACCAGTGTGCTGAAAGTTGGATCACACAGGCAAAAATGGATATTTTCAAGAAAGGAAGTTTATTAACTATTTTATTATTCTGGAATATTAAATAACCTATTCAAATTGATTTCCACCATTTATGATATAAAAGTTGATTTGCTTTGCAAAATTCACATAAACAAAGCCTGGCATATGATATCACAATGTCTAGTTTGAGAATGGAGGCAGAGGCAGTCATTTCGGTCTTCCACTGGAATGCAAATCAGCTGTACACACATGTCGTAATTGTAACTGATTCACAGAGTATGTTAAGAAAGGTGGAGACAGGCATGCTCCTTGCAGAATGGCAAGCATCACTTCATAGGTCCCAGGTACTAAGCATCCGTTGGATATTTTCTCCCGGCAGATAGACCAGCTGGTTCTGCACAACTTAATGGTGAATTGATATGACAAGCTACATGTTGTCAGAGCGCTTTGGGAGTGAGTGAACAGTGTGGAGGCACAATAGATTATTACGGTCGGATTAGATTAGCGCTGCGGGGAGTTGCCAGGGAATCTGGCCGATGCTCAACACTTAAGGAAAGGAGAAACAGATTTCAATCAGACAGTTACTGGCACTATCACTTGCTGCTGAAGATGGGGAAGGAACGCAGATTGAAGTGCTGTGATGTGAATTCCTGATTGAACATTCAACACTCAGCATGAACTGGATGTAATAAATACGCATTGCTGTCAGTTTTCACACGTTCAGATTTCACTTATTTTACTGTACTTTTAGCTTGCTCCATTTTTGCCTTTAAAAAAACAAAATAATTTTGTATCAACATAACCCTTGCAAACAGCAAAGGCTGCAGAGAGGAAATCATCATCATCATCATTATGTGTCATACCAGTAAGCACTGGCTGTCTGACTTTGGCATCTAACAAGATCACCAGAGTAACAGATCAGGTCAATGGTCTTGTCTCTTTCCAGCCATGTGGCCAAGCCATCTGAGTATTTATCTTTTTGCCTTCCTCTTGCTCTCTTTCCAACAATCTTGTCAGTTGTTACTAATGGCTCATAATGCTTTGAAAAAAATTAATTAACCTTATTTTCTTTTTCAACTTTGATTACAAAAAGACCTGTGGCAGTAGCTCTATATTATTTTTAGCTTCCTTCCATTAAAAATACTATAGTTGATGATAATAATGATGACAATATTCATGATGATAATAATAATGATGATGATAATGATGATAGGAATTATTGGTGGTAATAATGATAAAGCTGATAATCATAGTGATGATGATAATAGTTCTGAGTATAATTATGATTTTATTTAGTGTTGATCAGATTATCTTATTGTGACAATCAGATTATCAGATTAAATAGGGTGGGGATAATGATGATTTTTATAGTGACGATGGTGACAATGATTATAATGAGGATACTAATTAGGACTATAACAAAGATACAGATGGCAATAGGGATTTTTAGGAATGTTAATGCTGAGATGATTAATGAGTATGATGGCAAAAATGATGATAAGTATCATATTGATGAAAATATTTTAATGATTTAATCACAACTTGAGCAGTTGTTTAATTTTTCTACAATAATCATTGTAAATGAGTTTAATGAAATCCCTGTTTACATAAAAGTGTATATATATGTATGAAAATTATTTGCCATGTCTCCTGTTGTCTACATTTGAACTTTGAGGCATTTTCAAATAAAATATGTTCCAGTGGTTTTATTGCAAACATAGCAGGTGTGGCAAAATAAAACAAAGCATCTGTTGGGTGGCAAGCAGTTATCAGAGTAAGACTCTGTAGGCATTCAGATATACATCCTAGTGTTTGTGGAGATGGTGGATGTTACTTGAAAAGAAAGACTGCCTGTTGTTTGAACAATTTTAACACTGCAGGCATGAAGTAAGGAAGTACACATGGAATGGAATTTGAACCAATGTTAGAGATCTTAGAAAGGCAAGCACGGCTTCAGAAATCCCAGACAGTTAATGTCCATTTGGGTATTTTGTCCAAGGTTCCATTGTGGTGTCAGCCTCTTGACCTAGCAAAACCTCTCTTACCTGAAGACCATTTTGCGTGGCGAAGAGTAAGAGCCTCCCCAAGGTAGTCCTGGTAACTGGGGGTGCGAATCCCCAGGCAAAACACAATGGATCTAGTGGAGCAAACCTCGATAATAAACCCGGTGCACCACACCGTACTGCCCCCTGTGGGAGGGAAGGAGTCAGAGGTGTGCTGAACAGTCTTAGGGATGGAAACAAGTATGCTAACCCCCCTGAATACCGGAAACTATCGTGAAGGCACAAGGACTCAGGACGTGATGATCCAGTTGCCCCAACTACTCATGCTTAGGCCATGCTTAGAGCCATGAAGAGCTCAGCGAAACCTGCAGGCAATCTGGTGACGGGGAATGAGCACACTGTGAGCCCCACCTTAGCTACGTGTTAAAGGGGAAGGCAGAAACACAACCCATATTTCCTTTAGAACTGGTACAGGGCATTTCTAGCTGCTGCCCGGGGAGATAGGTAATCCACAGACACCCCAGCCCCACAATGCCATGAATATGTCCAAGGTTCTAAGAATACCATAGAAAAAAAAAATGCTGAAATTTTAAAACAGCATTTTGTCCAGGAAGCTGAAATATTTTGATCATATCAAGCACAATGGCGGATTATAAAAAAAGGCAGAAGGCATGGTACCGGAAAGGAGGGGCAGAGTGCAGACCAACATGAAGATGGGCACAGAATATAGGTGACTCCTTGAGTATGCAAATACATGAGCTGGTGGGAGACCAAGTTCGTTTCAGGCAGACCGTGGTGTGAGATATTCTGCAAAGGACCAGCTACGTGATGATGATTCAGATGTGATAGGAGATGAATAGTCAGACAAACTGACTGGTTCTGCACCACTTGATAAATGCATGCATGGCAAATGAGATGTGGCCAAGGCACTGTGGGAGCACATGAACATTATTGAAGCACAAATAGATGATCACAGTCTCAAGAGAATAGTGTGGCAGAAAGTGATGGGAGTATCTTGCCAACACTCAGGGTATCAAAGATGGACATAAATCTGGCTGCTATTGATTCTATCAGCACTGGAACTCTGCACTGGCTGCTGAAGATGAGGATGTAGCACTTACGGATGTGTTCTGAGGGCTGTTATGTTAGATCTTAAACTCACTCTGGAGGGTAATGTATTTTTGTTGTGAATGATAGCAAGCAAAGAATTACAGCACCACCACTTTGAACTGTGACAGGGAACTAGCAACCATGCAATGAATACATCCTGGATGCTATGTCATCTTCTAAGTGAATAAATGTAGAATGTTGAATACAGAATTAACAACAAAGCACTCAGGACAACCAGGACACCCCTATAAGTGCTCCATCCCCATCTTCAGCAGCAAGCAAAGAGTTCCAATTTCAATGGTACCAGTAACTGTCTGATTGTATATCCATTTCACTTTTTCTCTGAGTTTTGAGCGTCAGCCAGATTCCCCTGGTAACTCCCCACAGCGCCATTCTCCTTAGACTGTAATGACCTATCTGTACCTCCGCACTGTTTACTAGTTCCCGAAGGGCCAACACAACATCTAGCTTGTCATCTATCAATTCACCAGCAAGTGGTGCAAAACCGGCGAGTCTATCCACCTGCTCATTTCCAAAAACACCGGCACGACCTGGAGATAATATCCAAAGTATACTAGCTACCTGGGACCTCTGAAGTGATGCTTGCCACTCTGCATGGAGCCATCTAAGTGAGAATGAGGCATGTCTAAATGCCTATAGTGACTTCTTCTGCTGGCGTCAGATGCTTCTTTTTTCTAACAGTTTATTTAACTCTGCCGTATCTGATATTTTACAGTTCCTACATTCGTAATCAATTTGTTAGATTTTTGTATCATTTTATGAGGCTTTGTATAATGCAGAAGGCCTATAATCCTACATCCATATATTTTTTATTTACTGTTATTAATGTTGTGATGTTGTGAGCTGTTGTCAGAGTGTCTCAGATACTTGTCTTGGATATGTGTTTTGGAAATAATTTTTGAATGCATGTCTTTGATACATGTCTTGGTTACTTGTCTGGGATGCCTGACTTAGATTCTTGTCTCAAATATTTGTCTCAGATAATGTCTTTTTACATATCTTAATATGTGTCTGTGATGCATGCCTCAGATACTTGCCAGGGATACTGCAATACTCATCTGGGATACTGAGATAGTGGTCTGGGATACCTGG